AGCAGCAGCAGTGATATGACCATATAGGCAGTGATATGACCATTTAGGCGGAATGTATATTTTTCATCAACCCGCCCTTTGAACGCCGCCTGTGCCACCCCTATGCCACCCCATAGTCGTATTGCCACTATTCCCCTTTGGAGCAGCAGCTGCGACCTGTCCAGATGGTACCTGCCAGCAGCAGCTGCGATCTATCCATGTAGACGTAGTCATGGATCTTCTCATCCATGCGGTTCTTGAACGCCTTCTGTGCTGCAGATACCACCTGCCCCAGGCATCACCCAGGTGTGCAACTCACCAGCAGCAGCTGCGACCGGTCCATGTAGACGTAGTCCTGAATCTCCTCATTCACCTGCCCCTTTTGGGTGTACAACACGTATCACCTGCCCCAGGCACCACCCAACCCAGCCTACCAGCAGCAGCTGCGACCGGTCCATGTAGACGTAGTCGTGGATCTTCTCATCCACGCGGTTCTTGAACGCCGTCTGTGCCGCCCCTATGCCGCCCAGCAGCACCAGCGACGGCAGCAGCGCCGCCACCCCCCTTAGGAAGAAAAGGCGTGAGCGAGGCAGCAGGTCGACCGTCACTCCCTTCACCAGCAGTGAGGGGTAGAGGAAGGGGTCGATTGGGATATCCACCTGATAGGGTCACAGTTTAGGGGTGTGGCGTTTAGGAATAAAAGACTCAGGCCTACAATCCACCTCGCAGGAAGAAGAGGCACGAGCGAGGGAGCAATGAAGGGCCTACAATCCACGTGACCCCCTTGATGAGCAATGAAGGGTAGAGGAAGGGACCTATGAGGATGGCCACCATGGGTTTAGGGTGCAGCCAGCGTGCACACATCAGGGTTCAGGGGTCAGGAGGAGTCTGGCTGGTTAAGGGGCTTGAGCCACGCCTGGAGACCGAGGCCGCTCACAAGGAGGCAGCAGGTCGACCGTGACCCCCTTGACCAGAGGAGACGAATAGAGGAAGGGGTCAAAGGAGATGTCCACCAGATAGGGTCAGGGTTTAAGGTTGAGGGAGAAGGAAATTAGGGTCATTCAGACTAACATGGTCCTTGTGTCTACCCGAGCAGTTAACACCCTCATAGCGCTCACCCCCTCACCTACCACTCCTCACCTACCACTCCTCACCTACCACTCCTCACCTACCACTCCTCACCTACCACTCCTCACCTACCACTCCTCACCTACCACTCCTCACCTGCCACTCCTCACCTGCCACTCCTCACCTACCACTCCTCACCTACCACTCCTCACTCACCTACCACTCCTCACCTACCACTCCTCACCTACCACTCCTCACCTACCACTCCTCACCTACCACTCCTCACCTACCACTCCTCACCTACCACTCCTCACCTACCACTCCTCACCTACCACTCCTCACCTACCACTCCTCACCTACCACTCCTCACCTACCACTCCTCACCTACCACTCCTCACCTACCACTCCTCACCTGCCACTCCTCACCTACCACTCACCTACCACTCCTCACCTGCCACTCCTCACCTGCCACTCCTCACCTACCACTCCTCACCTACCACTCCTCACCTACCACTCCTCACCTACCACTCCTCACCTACCACTCCTCACCTTGTATTCAGCAGGAAACCCCTCCTTCATCGTGACATAGAGTCTCCTCATATCTGCTGTAAAGACTGCTGCCTCCACCTCGTTGGTCTGTATCTTGCGCAGCAGCCACACGTACGGCATGGCGGGCCGGTGCTTCCACCACCGCCGCTGCAGCCACACCGCCGGGCTCTCCTCCTCGCCCTCCCCCCGTGCCCGCCTTGCCATCTCCTCCTCCTGCTGCGCCTGGATCAGATCCCAGTCGTAAACGTACTCGTACCTGGTGGGGGAATAGGGATAAGTCATAGGGGAAAAGGTGCAGACTTAGGTCGGCGCCCCAAACTTATCTCATCTCCTCCTGCTGCTGCGCTAGGATCAGATCCCAGTCGTACACGTACTCGTAGCTGGTGAATGCGGGAGGGTAGCGAGGAAGGAGTAGGCAAGTGGGCATGGGTGGACATAATCGTAGCTGGCGGAGGAGGGGGTGGGTTGAGGAGGAGAGAGTGGCAGAGGGGAGAGGGGGTCTTGAGGAGCTTCGTCAAAAATTCTCCTGCTGCGTTGGGACTGAATCAGATCCCACCCTCCCATCTCACTTCTCATGTCATGTGCACATACTCGTGAGGCTGGTAGAGAGCAATGCAATGCAATGCAATGCAATACAATGCAATGCAATGCAATGCAATACAATGCAATGCATGCAATGCAATGCCTCCCATCCCATCCCACTGCCCCTTAATACATCTGATGGGCTCAATCAATCAATCGTCTCATGCAGTGGCCCTTACCGGCTAACAGGCTCGTCAATCCGATCCTTTATGTCCCCCCTCCACCACCGCCCCATGGCGCTATGTGCACCATACCATCACCCCATCATCGTCGTGCAACACAAGGCTTCAGTGATTCAATCCACCCCATCCCCATCACATGGCGCCCTTGTGCTTCTCACCGGCTGCCGGGCTCCTCAATGAGGTCCTTGATGTCGCCCTCCACCACTGCCTCCTCCCACCGCTGCAACCGATCCCTCCAACTGCTGCTGCTGCTGCTGCTGCCGGTGCTGGTGCTGGTGGTGCCACTGCCAGGTGGCAGCAGCCCAGTGGCCGTTGACCCTGTTGACCCTTCCAGGAGGTTCTTATCCTGCCATGCCGTCTCGCCCACGAACGAGGGGTCCTTCACCCACCGCCCCTCCTGGTCCATCTTCCACTTCACCACCGACAGCCCTGGGGGAGCCTGTGCCCGCCACCGCTGCTCCCTCACCCTGCAGATTAGCGAAAAAGAGTGGGGGGGAGGGGGGGAAAGGGTAGGCGGGGATGTTTTGAGAGGAGAGAGAGAAAGGGCACCCACCGCCCCTCCCGGTCCATCTTCCACCTCACCACTGACAGCCCGGGGGGAGCCTGCGCCCGCCACCGCTGCTCCCTCACCGTGAAATTCAGCAAGGAAAACAGAGCGGCGGGGAGGGGGGGAAGGGGGGAAGGGGGAAGGGGGGAAGGGGGATGATTCTGATAAGAAAGAAAACGCACCCACCTCCGCTCGTGCACCCTGAGAATCAGCAAGAAAGGCAGAGCGGTGTGTGGGGGATGGGGGGGGGAGGGGAGTTATTAGAAGAGAGGAAAGAAAACCTTCACACACTCTATCCCTCCCGCTCCATCTTCCACTGCTCCCCCACCCTGAAGAATGCGGGAGAAATGGAGACTGTGGGGTTGATGGGATGGGAATGAGAGGGGTTGGGTTCTGGGATGGCATACTCCAAGAACTGCTCCATATCTTCTCCCACCCATCCCCCAGCCCCCGTGCCCCCCTCCCTCCCCCCCTTCTCCCCCCAGGCACTCACTCACAGGCGGATGTTCCTCAGGGGTGGGTTCCGGGATGGAAGATCAGCTTCTTGCACCCATTCCCCCCTATCCCCCCCGCTCCCGCTCCTTTGGCACTCACAGACGGATGCTTTCTGGTGAGGGTCCGGAGATGGTGTGGCCCAAGAACTGCTCCACATCTCCTTGCGCCTATCCCTCCCCCTACCCCCCCCCTTGGGCACTCACAGGCGGATGTTCTCCGGGGTGGGTTCTGGGATGGCGTGCTCCAAGAACTGCTCCACAGTCGCCGGCCGGCTCGCCAGACTGCCAGCTACAGAGCGACCTGCCGACCGGCAGAAGGCGACTGTAGCAGCGAGGTAGAGCGCCGCTACAACCCACCTGAGTGCATCCCAGGACCGAGGGTCCTGTTTGGGGGAGGGGTGAGGGGAATGTTATCAGGAGGCCCAGACGGCAGCTGTAGCACCAAGGTACAGCGCTGCTACAACCCACCGCAGCACCGGCCAGGATTGGGGGCTCTGTAAGATATTTGGTGCGCACGGGGGAGAGGGGGACAGGGAGAGTGAAGGGGGGGGGGGGACAGGGGGAGAGAGGGGAATGGGACAGGGAGAGGGGGGGAGAAGAGTGGGGGAGTCTTGGAGGTGGAGGGGAGATTGAGGAAACGGCTCATGGAGGCGGGAAGCATGGGGCGATATTATATTTTTTGAACGGGCGTGAGTGCAACGGGAAAACCCAGAACCCTGACTCCCCGCTGCCTACATTCCTGTCGCCTGATGCCCCGCCACGCCCAGCCTACTAGCCCCGTTGCTTTGTGCTTCTCTTAAATCCGTCCTTGCCACGTCACCACCCACCTTCCATTGGTCCACGTGGTGCCATCGCTTCGCTGCCAGCAGCCTTGGAAGGCCGCGCCGCTTTACTGCCGCTGCCTGCTCCCGGGCAGACCCGAAAATATTATCAACTGCCCCGATCACAGCCGCCCGGATCGCTGCGAACATAACCTGCGCGTCTCGGACATCCGTTCTAAACTCCTCCTTAATCTCCTCCACCACCCCATCCAGAGATTTCGCTTTTAAGAAGTTCGCTCCAGCTCCTGAGCTCGCATTATTATTGGCGTCTGCCGGTGCTTCTCCGCGATCGCCGGCGCTTTTTCCGCCGGATTGAGCGGCCCGGCAAGGGGACCCTAACGGCCGTGAAAACCGGAGAAGGGAGGGTCGGGAGCCGCTAAAATGCGGGGAGAGACGAGTGGTGAACGACGAGGATAAGGGGACACGTGGCCGATGACACGTAGGCGCATGGCCACGTGGCAAGAGGTGAGGTGTCGACTTCGCAGCAAGAGCACTGCTCCCCACTAATGTCGGCATAGTCGCTATGTCAACGGGTTGCGATATCTGAGGGCCCTGGAGAACAGAGCAAGATCGTGCGGTCAGCGCAAGCGGCACAGGCAAGGCCCTACGGCTCTCCTGATAACGTCACGGCACGATGTCGGTAAGACATCCGTGCGGCTCGGCGCGCCGTACGGTTCTCTCAATGATAACCCACTGGTCAGTCAGTTCGCCTTGAAGGGGAGATTATGACGAGGAGTCGGCTGCAGCACTGGGACAGAGGGATTACCAGAGAAAGTTCGCCAAAGTAGACGCGTTATTATTTTCTACACAGATACCGTAATTGTCTTCACAATTGTAAAAATTCATATTCCAAACCAATATTCACTTTGACATAGCCACTATGTTTGACGGTACTTTTCCTTCTCTTGAACACATAATTGGGCCTTCTTGTCGCCTCCATGCGTCTCTAAACATCTTCATATGCAATATCTGCACACACCAGTAGGAAGAAAGGGTGAGAACTCATATAAGCCAAGCAAATTGCTCTCTCGTCCTTACCTGCATCAGTGTATCCACTGCATCATCCCCCTCCATGCCTTCCAAATCCGCCACCCACTCCCCGACCTCCTTCCCCTGGGCTCTCTGCCGCCCCGCCTCTAGCAGCACGGCTGCCCGGTAGAACCACCGCATCCAGACACGGCTCGCCGCCCGCTGCATTGCACGCACTTGGTCGTCTGTGAAGGACTGGAGAATGGTGACGAGGTTGGGGATGTGGGCCTCTGCCACGCGCACTGTGAACGACGGGTAGTCGAGGAAATTCTCAAATGGCAGCTCTATGCCGTCCTGCGTGCCATGCCATGCAATACCCATGCCATACCCATGCGAGACCCATGCCATGGCATTAGGAGGAAGGAAGGGATGTGGGACTGGTTATTCTGAACCCGGACGCAGAAGAGCTGATAGGCGCAGAAGAGCTGATTGGCGCATTCTTTCACCAGAAGAGCTGATTTGAGCTGTGGGACTGGTTATTCTTTCACTCGCGCGAATGAAATGCAGAAGACGTGCAGAGCTGGACCAGGGGATGCAGCCACGCACCTGGACAACGAGGATGCAGCCAGCCATGCACCTGGACAACAGCGAGGATGCAGCCAGCCACGCACCTGGACAACAGCGAGGATGCAGCCAGCCACGCACCTGGACAACAGCGAGGATGCAGCCAGCCATGCACCTGGACGATGACGGGGATGCAGCCGTGCAGCAGGCTGTCCTCCATGCGCGCACTGAAGCCATCGCCTGGGAGCACCCCGCAGAAGCGAGACTGCGACAGCTGCGCTTGGGGGGGGGGCGGGAGGGATGGGCGGGAGGGGGGAGTGGGGTGGGGGAGAGAAGATGACGTGAGGGAGAGTGGGCAGCATGGGAATGGAGGGCGAGTAGGGGGTGGAGAAGGGGCGAGAATAGAGTGAAAGGCGTGGAGAAGGGGCGAGAATAGAGTGAAAGGGGTGGAGAAGGGGCGAGAATAGAGTGAAAGGGGTGGAGAAGGGGCGAGAATAGAGTGAAAGGGGTGGAGAAGGGGCGAGAATAGAGTGAAAGGGGTGGAGAAGGGGCGAGAATAGAGTGAAAGGGGTGGAGAAGGGGCGAGAATAGAGTGAAAGGGGTGGAGAAGGGGCGAGAATAGAGTGAAAGGCGTGGAGAAGGGGCGAGAATAGAGTGAAAGGGGTGGAGAAGGGGCGAGAATAGAGTGAAAGGGGTGGAGAAGGGGCGAGAATAGAGTGAAAGGCGTGGAGAAGGGGCGAGAATAGAGTGAAAGGGGTGGAGAAGGGGCGAGAATAGAGTGAAAGGGGTGGAGAAGGCTGGATACAGTAATGAAACTGCACTGAGAACAGTGGTATGACTCAACTGATTTTTGAGTCAACTCAAAAATCGACTCATTACACACGAAGGCTGGATACAGTAATGGAGCTGAACTGAACTGAGAACAGTGGTATGACGGCAAACAGGGATGGCTGACAGATCAATCACCCATCCGTCCTGCTCATTCTCCCTTGGCAAACTCTGCCCCTCACTTGCACCCCATAGTCTAAGATGGGTCCGGGCTGCAGCAGCACATCCGGCTGTGCCAGCAGCCCCATGTGACCGTGCCTGTTGCAGCATGCAACACCCTGATAACTCCCTGCACTCGCCGCACCTGGACTGCACCACATCCGGCTGCACCGCATTGTCAAATTTGGGTCCGGGCTGCAGCACCACATCCGGCTGTGCCAGCAGCCCCACGAGACCAACACACACAACACCACACTGGACTGCCATCTGAGCCATTCCCACCCACTTCCACCACATACCACCCACCTGCACCGCATAGTCGTAGATGGGTCCAGGCTGCACCACCACATCGGGCTGTGCCAGCAGCCCCAACTGCCCGTGCCTGTTGGGCTCCGACGCAAAGTACAGCGCCACTCGCTGCCGGATGCCCATGCTGTAGCTGCAAAGGGCGCGTGGGGATGTGGGGGGAGGGGCGAAATCGGGGGGGGGGGGGGGGGGGAATGGAAGGGGGGAGATGGGGGGGTGGGCACTGAGAAGTCCCTGAGGCAAAGTACAGCGCCACTTGCTGCCGGATGCCCATGCTGTAGCTGGTGGGGGGGGGGGGTTGGGGGACGGGGGACGGGGAAAGAGAGGGGGGGAAGAGGAAGGGTGGGTGAGCTGAGCTGAGCTGAGCTGAGCTGAGGATAGTACTGTGCAACTCGCAGCTGGATGCCCATGCTGTAGCTGGTGGGGGGATGTGTGGGGGAGGGGGGGTCGAGGGGGGGGGAGACGAAGTGTGGGTGGGCACAGTAAGACTCGGAGGCAAAAGCATGCAGTAGGGTGTGTTTGGATGTGGGGGGTGGGGGGAAATGGGAGGGGATGGGGGATGAGGGAGACTTCTCAGAGTAGTGAGAAGACTCTGTGCCAAAGTACAGTGCCACTCGCTGCCCATGCTGTAGCTGGTGGGGGGTGTGGGGATTGGGGAGGGATGAGGAAGATATTCGGGGGGGAACCCAAAGGCTCAGATATAAACACCTTCTCTCTCATTCTCCTCTCACTTGCCTTCCAGCCTCCCCTCACTCCCTCACTCTCCTCTGAGTCACTCAGTTTCTGCCCGTGCTCACTTGGCTTCTGGCCGGCCGTGGGTGAAGTTGAGTCCGAGATTGCCCCCAAAGAAGAACAGCCGCCGCCGATTCTCCACTGGGCTGCAGCGGCAGAGAGACAGAACGACCCAAGATTCCCAGTAACGCAGGGGTTCAGCGGCAGAGAAACAGATTGGGCAGGAGGAGAAAAAGGAGGGTGCGATGGGGAGGAGTGGAGGGATGAGAGTGTGTCACAGAAATGAATCTATTCTTGAGGCTCCTCGAAACTAGAGCTTGTGAGGGGCAGGAATGGCTTGCAACAGCTGGGGCCAAGCACCATCCCTCAAATTGTCGCCCATCACAAGGAAAAGTAGAGCAGCAAGTCTAACACGCCCCCTACTTGACACTCTGTCCACCACTCTCCCAACCCCCCACACCCCCCTCCCCTCTCCTTCTGTCTCCACACATGAGCCACAGCTTCTCCCTCGGGACAACCACGTCCGGCACTGAGCGGGATGCCGACATTTGCTTACACAAATACCGTAGATGCTGTTTTTTGACTTTTGAGTCGACTCAAAAGCAGACTCATTACACACTGTTTATACAAATACCCTAGATGCTGGTGGAGAAGATCCTCGGATCGTGCGGTCTAGGGTTTGACACTCTAAAGCGGTGGTCGCTGCATTCCGTACTTGAGCCACAGCCTCTCCCTCAGGTGCTCCGCGCTGGCCGGCTTGAAGGCCGGCATCACCACGTCCTTCAGCACTGAGGGATATATATTCTAATCTTGCTGGTGGAGGCGATCCTCAGGGTGCACTTTAAGGCCCGACGTTTGACACTCTAAAGTTTTGACCGCTGCATTCCTTACTTGAGCCACAGCCTCTCCCTCGGGTTCTCCGCGCTGGTTGTGAGACGTCTCAAAACGAAACCACTACACCTCTCCATAGAACGTACTTGAGCCACAGCCTCTCCCGCAGGTGCTCCGCGCTGGGCGGCTTGAAGGCCGGCATCACCACGTCCTTTAGCGGGTCGAAGCACGCGTGCCGCCCGCGCAGGGCTGTTGGGATGTCGTGCCAGCTGTCGAGGAGGTAGGCGGTGGTGGAGTGGTCGTGGGCGGCCATGGTGTTGCCCCAGTGCGACAGCATTATGCCGTTAAACACGTCCTTGGGTGCGCTGCAGGCGCCCTCGTCCCAGGGGAAGGTCTGCAGGCATGAGAGAGGGAGCAAAGGTGAGGGAGGGAGACAGGCGGTGGTGGAGTGGTTGTGGGCGGCCATGGCATTGCCCCAGTGCGACAGCATTATCCCGTTAAAGACTTCCTTGGGTGCGCTGCAGGCGCCCTCGCCCCAGGGGAAGGCCTATTGGGTTGGATGGGGGATGGGGAGAGGGAGAGGAGGAAGAGAGCATTGGATGGTGGTGGAGTGGTTGTGTGCGGCTGTGGTGTTGCCCCAGTGCGACAGCGGCCATGATCCCGTTAAACACGTCCTTGGGTGCGCTGCAGGCGCCCTCGTCCCAGGGGAAGGTCTGTCTGTGGGGTTGCATAGGTGATTTTTTAGTCGACTCAAAAATCACCTGTGGGGTTGCATGGGGAGTGGTGGACGGAAATGGGGAGGAGAGCAGCCACCATGATTTCCCACTTCCCCACCTCCCCCCTCACCCACACTCACCCAGATATGGTCCCGGCCACCAGTACTGTTCCAGTAGGGGTAAGCGGATCGGATATGCTCCAGTGCCCGCTGATAGAAGTCCGCTGCAAAGTACGACCTGCGATTCTTGAACTTGCCCTGCGCGGCAGGGAGGGGGAGAGGCGGGGGAGGGGGGTGAGGGGCGAGGAGAGTGGGTGTGCATGCAGTAAAGAGCTGAATGCGCTCCAGTGGTCGCTGACAGTAGTCCGCTGCGAAGTACGACCTGCGATTCTTGAACCCGCCCTGGAAGGAAAGAGCGGGAGGGGAGGCATGGTGTGCTGGAAGGTAAGGCGTCGAGTCGTCAACCCTGGCAGGCAGTGATGCAACCCCACTTGCTAGTCCATAACATCCTTACTTCCCATACCATACCATAGCATAACACACCATACCATACCATACTGTACCGTGCCAAGCTCATGCCATGCCAGACCTCTGACAGGCACACACCTGCATGGAGGTCGATGGTGAGTCATCAGCCCTGGCAGTGATGCATCCCCCCATCACAGGCACGAAGAAGAAGTCAGCTGCCGATGCGTTGGTGGTGCGCTGGGGACTGGCCAGCAGCGACTCAAGCACTGCCACCTGGCTGGTGGGAGGGGAGCGGAGGGGAGGGGAGGGGAGGGGAGGGGAGGGGGGGAGCAGTGAGAGGAACGGAAAAGGGAGCAGGGTGTGCATGGGGTGCAAAGAAGTATCGGCTGACAATGCAGTGGTGCAGTGGGGGCTGGCCAGCAGCGATTCAAGCACTGCCACCTGGCTGAGGGGAGATGAGAAAAGGGGGGTCGGGAGGGGATGGGGGGTCGGGAGGGGATGGGGGGTCGGGAGGGGGATGGGGGTCGGGAGGGGGATGGGGGGTCGGCTGAAGGCGCGTTGATGGTGCGGTGGGGACCAGCAGCGATTCAAGCACTGCCACCTGGCTGAGGGGAATGAAGGCAAGCAGCACAGCCACACATAAGAAGCCGGCTGAAGATGCAGTCAGGTGCGATAAGCATTCTAGCAGTGACTCAACAACGCCTCCATGTGTACCATATTTGTTTTGAGTCGACTCAAAACACACCTCAACAACGCCTCCAAGCGTACCATATTTTGTCAGCAATCAAGCCAGCACCTCACCTCCACGCCACCACCTCACCGCTACGCCAGCACCGCACCTCCATGCCATAGAGCTGGAAGTGGTTGTACAGTGTCTCATTGTGCATGCCATACAGCCTCGTGGTGCAGTACGCCCTGATCTTGCGTGCCTCCAAGTGGTGGAAGGTGAACTCCCCAGGCAGGTCATAGATGTAGATCAGCGGCCACCGCCGCCGCACCCACCGCCTGCTGCCCACAGGCTTGGTCTGCGGCCGTGCCCACTGTGCCCAGTGTCTTGGGGGAACTGGCTTCCCCTGCTTCTGCTGTTCCGTTTCAGTTGACTCAAAGGCCTGCCGCTGCGCCCACCGTGCCCTGTGTCTCGTGGGAACTGGCTCTCCCTGCTGCTGCTGCTCCCATGGGCTGCTGCCCAATTGTTTGACTTGTGTCTGCGCCCCCCCTGCTGCACCCACCTTACGCTGCACAGCCGTGCCCCCAGCAGCAGCACCGCCCCCAGCAGCAGCACCACCCCCAACAGCAGCCCTCCCCCCTGGTCCCTGCCTCTCCAGCGCCCCACCTGCACGGTCCAGCAATCGGCGCCGGGGCAAACCGTGAGGCATTGTGAACAGTGCCTGCGGCGAGAAAGCGGACGGCAAACTGCAGTCGATGCCAAAGAAGCCATCCGAACACTGGAGCGGGCGGGACGGGAAAGAAGGAAAACACTTCATGCCTCCCTTGTGATCCACAAGGTTTTTTTTTCTTACATAATCGCACCAAAACATGACCATCGTTGCGGAAGAAATTACCTCACAGTATCCCCTGTGGCAAGTGCCATGCAGCGAGCACTGGTTGAGGCAGAACGTCTCCACCCTTGTGTCGCAGAAGGGCCCCAGGTACCCGTCCACTTCGCAGATGCCGCACCCCGTGTAGTCCCGCTGGAAGCCCACAAGGGGGTCGGCGTTGCAGTAGCCGGTGTGCGCGTGGAACAGCAGGTCCGTGTCCACCTCGCTGAACACGAAATCATGGTTCCTGGGGGGAGGGAGGGGCGAGGGGGGGGGAGGGGAGAGGGGAGAGGGGAGAGGGGAGAGGGGAGAGGGGAGAGGGGAGAGGGGAGAGGGGAGAGGGGAGAGGGGAGAGGGGAGAGGGGAGAGGGGAGAGGGGAGAGGGGAGAGGGGAGAGGGGAGAGGGGAGACCCCCATTGCAGTGTGGGACCCCCATTGCAGTAACCGCTGTGGCTGTGGATAGAGCACATGCCACAGTCAACAGGGCAGACAGATGACCCCCCCCCCCCCCCCCTCAACTCACCCTCCACCCCATCCCACATACCTGTACACAAACCCACAGGGGTGAGTGATGGATCGGTGGGGGAACCGGGTGCCATTCCCACAGAAGCAGAGCGCGGTTGCGGTGTCGCAGTGAGCCGGACAGATAGACGCCACCCACGGCCCCACAGGCCACTCTGGTGAGGCAGGCAGGTTGCACTGGTGCAGGTGCAACTGCGAGCAGTCAGGACCTGAAACATGGGAATAGTGGGTGGGGCGTGGGAGTGGGCAACAGGGCAGATTGATGCCACCCAGGGAGCCATGAGTTGCTCAGGTGATGCGGGCAGGTTGCACTGGTGCAGGTGCAACTGCGAGCAGTCAGGACCTGTTGAGTGAGAGTGAAAGGGAATGGGGCAGGGAGAAAGAGGAGAGAAGAACCAGTGATACCGCGAGGTAGACATGGGCAAAATGCGATTGCGATTTAAATCGCATCGCATTGGGGGGCGATTTAATTAAATGCGATGCCATTTTAAATCGCATCGGGCGATTTAATTTCTGGAAAAAAAAAGAGCACATCGCGTTTTGCGCGCGATGAATATAAAAATCGCATGCGGTATTTAATTAAATCGCGCGATGCGATTTTAAATCGCATCGCGTTTTAAAACAGAATAAAAATAACCCCCAAAAAACAGAAAAAAACCATGGCTGCCGGGAAATTGAATCACGGGCAGCCGTAAGCTACAGTGCAAATAACTAGTGTGGTTTCGTAGTGGGTTTCAGAGTGGGTTTCAGTGCAACATCGCGCGCGATTTTTTAAAAATCGTATATCGCATTTAAATCACGTTTTTAGCGCGATTAAAATGCGATTCAATTTAAATCGCGCGATATTAATTCATCGCATCGCGCGATGATTTAAAAAAAAAAAAAAAATCGCCATCGCAAAAACGCGATTAAATGCGATGCGATGCGATTTTTTTTGCCCATGTCTACCGCGAGGGGATGGGGCAGGAAAGGGGAAGGGGCAGGCAAGGGGATGGGGCAGACAAGGGGATGGGGCAGACATGGGGATGGGGCAGACAAGGGGATGGGGCAGACATGGGGATGGGGCAGACATGGGGATGGGGCAGACATGGGGATGGGGCAGACAAGGGGATGGGGCAGACAAGGGGATGGGGCAGACATGGGGATGGGGCAGACATGGGGATGGGGCAGACAAGGGGATGGGGCAGACATGGGGATGGGGCAGACATGGGGATGGGGCAGACATGGGGATGCCACGCCTTGTCCTTACCGAGCATACGAGGACGAATAACAAGCATACCAGGAGGAATACCGAGCAAGCATACCAGGAGGAATACCAAGCATACCAGGATGAATACCCAGCATACCAGGAGGAATACTAAGCATACCAGGAGGAATACCGAGCATAACAGGAGGAATACCCAGCATCCAGGAGGAAAACCCAGCATAGACATGGGCAGCATGCCGAGCCTGGCTCGACTCGGCTCGACTCGAACTGGAGCCAGGCAAAAGTCGAGCCGAGCCGACTCGGCTCGACCCGAGCCGGCTGCCCCAAAATGGTTGGCTCGTCTTGGGGGTTCAGGGTCGAGCCAAGGGTCGGCTCAACTTTGGCTCGGCTCGGCTCGACTCGCCAAAAGGGTTTCTTCCGCATGATTTGAAAAGGTCTTGCTAGATCGCTGTAAATGTTCTGCACGTAAAGGTCCCTAAGCCCTTACATCCTTCCTACAACACCAAAAGGTAGTCGAAAAAAAATTGTAGCGGTGTTGGTGGAGAGAGGGCAAGCTAGGGTGGCGAAATAGCTCAGATGTAGGCTTAGGCTCGATGGCGAAACCTAGAATGGATTTTCAACTTCCAGGGGGGTCGAATTTTGACCCCCCACGGGCGAGCCGCGCGCTTCGGGAGTCGAGCCAAAGTCGAGCCAAAGTCGAGCCGGCTCGACTTCGGCTCGCCCTGAAATTTGCGACGAGTCGAGTCGAGTCGAGCCGCGCGGCTCGACCAGCTCGACTCGGGCCGAGCCGGCCAAAAAAAAAACCCGGCTCGACTCGCCAAAAAGGCGAGTCGAGTCGAGCCGAGTCGAGCCAGGCTCGGCTTGCTGCCCATGTCTAACCCAGCATACCAGGAGGACTACCCAGCATGTCAGGAGGAATACCCAGCATGCCAGGAGGAATACCCAGCATGCCAGGAGGAATACCCAACATGCCAGGAGGAATACCCAGCATGCCAGGAGGGATACCAAGCATGCCAGGAGGAATACCAAGCATACCAGGAGGAATACCAAGCATGCCAGGAGGAATCCCAAGCATAGCAGGAGGAATACCAAGCATAGCAGGAGGAATACCAAGCATGCCAGGAGGAATACCCAGCATACCAGGAGGAATACCAAGCAAGCCAGGAGGAATACCCAGCATACCAGGAGGAATACCCAGCATGCCAGGAGGAATACCCAGCATGCCAGGAGGAATACCCAGCATACCAAGAGGAATACCCAGCATAGCAGGAGGAATACCAAGCATAGCAGGAGGAATACCAAGCATGCCAGGAGGAATACCCAGCATACCAGGAGGAATACCAAGCAAGCCAGGAGGAATACCCAGCATACCAGGAGGAATACCCAGCATGCCAGGAGGAATACCCAGCATGCCAGGAGGAATACCCAGCATGCCAGGAGGAATACCCAGCATGCCAGGAGGCGCGCCAGGAGGAATACCCAGCATGCCAGGAGGGATACCAAGCATGCCAGGAGGAATACCAAGCATACCAGGAGGAATACCAAGCAGGCCAGGAGAAATACCCAGCATGCTAGGAGGAATACCCAGCATGCCAGGAGGAATACCCAGCATGCCAGGAGGAATACTCAGCATACCACGAGGAAAATCCAGGATGCCAGGAGGATTACCCAGCATGCCAGGAGGAATCCCAAGCATACCAGGAGGAATACCAAGCATAGCAGGAGGAATACCGAGCATTCCAGGAGGAATTCCAAGCATACCAGAACGAATACCCAGCATGCCAGGAGGAATACCAAGCATAGCAGGAGGAATACCCAGCATACCAGGAGGAAAACCCAGCATGCCAGGAGGAATACCCAGCATGCCAGGAGGAATACCCAGAATACCAGGAAGATTACCCAGCATGCCCCGAGGAATACCCAGCATGCCAGGAGGAATACCCAGAATACATGGGCAAAATGCGATTGCGATTTAAATCGCATCGCATTGGGGGGCGATTGAATTAAAGGCGATGCGATTTAAAATTACATCGCGCGACTTAATTTCTGGAAAATCAATCAATCGCACATCGCGTTCTGCACGCGATGAATATTAAAACCGCATGTGGTATTTACTCAAATCGTACGATGCGATTGTAAATTGCATTTCGTTTTGAAACAGAATGAAAAAAAAAAACCCAAAAACGAAAAAAAAACCATAGCTGCTGGGAAATTGAAGCACCGGCAGTCGTAAGATAGAGTGCAAATAATTAGTGTGGTTTCGTAGTGGGTTCTGGAGTGGGTTTCAGTGCGACACATTGGGCGCGATGTAAAACAAATCGCATATCGCATTTATATCGCGTTTTCCAGAGTGATTAAAATGCGATTAAAATTAAATCGCGCGATAAACAATTCATCGCATCGTGCGATGACTTCAACAAAAAATGCGATTAAATGCGATGCGATGTGATTTATTTTGCCCAGCATAGCAGGAGGAATACCCAGCATACCAGGAGGAATACACAGCATGCCAGGAGGAATACCCAGCATAGCAGGAGGAATACCCAGCATACCAGGAGGAATACCCAGCATGCCAGGAGGAATACCCAGCATAGCAGGAGGAATACCCAGCATAGCAGGAGGAATACCCAGCATACCAGGAGGAATACCCAGCATAGCAGGCAAGGCGATGGGGCAGGCAAGGGCCCACCAGGGCGTGAGGAACGGGGCAGGTAGCAACTGGAAACACTCAGGGGCTCATCTGAGCACCCGTGCCTTCACCTGAAGAACTACCTGAGCACCCGTGCCTCCACCTGAAGAAGCACCTGAGTACCCGTGTCGGCATCTGCACTCCCCCAGCTCATGGTTGCACACGCCGTTGCTGCTGCAGTTGCCGGGACATGCCTGGGCGAAGAGCGCCTGGGGGAGGACGCAGAACCAAGTGATGATCCCAGGGATTGTGACGCAGAACCAAGTGATGATCCCAGGGATTGTGACGCAGAACCAAGTGATGGTGACCTCCAAGGGATGCTGACCTCCAAGGGATGCTGACCATACGATACAAGGGAAATTCTCTCTCTTTATACAACGCCTAGACCTCTCCAAACCCTTTGTTCCTCAGCTTCAGGCCCACCTTCTTCCCTCTCCCCACTCCTCGCAGTAATTCTCTCTGTCACTCCATCCCTCCCCCCCCCTTCCCCCATCTCTCACACACTCACCTCGCCTACAGTCACATCCAGAAACTGTTCGCTGCACTCTACGAGCCATGTGCCCACATCAGCCTTCCACGGCGCCCCTCTGTACACCACCGCGCTGCTGCTGCTGCTGCTGCTGCTGCTGCTGCTGCTGCTGCTGCTGCTGCTGCTGCTGCTGCTGCCACGCTTAGAGCTGTCACCAGGGCTACTGTGAGAGGTGCCTTCTCCACTCCCCCCGCCCCTGTCGCCGCCGATTTCCATCGCCTCTTCCACTGCTTGCAACATCACCTGCGACTCAGCCTGTCCCTTCCGATCCCCCTGTGCGACCTGTGCGACCTGTGCGACCCGTGCGACGTCCCTGTTCCATAGCTGCAGCCCCCACAAGTCGCACGCGATGAGCGCGCCAGCGACGGCGACCAGCAGCGCGACCCGTGCCACGTGGGCAGCTCTCGGGCCACGTGGCTGCGCACCAGGCGCTGACTCTGCGATCGCACCGCCACGTTGGCTGAATGTGATTGGCTGGAAGGCACGAAAGGACGTCCCTGGAGCAGCGATTGGTGCAGTCGCTGCCGGTCGGAGTGTAGGTGCCGCCGGCTGGAGTGCCGGCCGGCGGGAGAAGAGGGGCGGGAGGAAAGTCGGCATGGGGCTGAGTGGAATTCAGCTGCTGACGCGCCTGATTGAAACCCGTCAAGAGAAGGAAGTTGAGGCAAAGCTGGCGGAGCCCGCGCGGAGGACACACTCTGCCGGATGGACGCTGGAGGGAGATTATTCGACTATTTGAGTTCGTGAGTCTGAGTCTGTCCCATGGGTTATCTGCTTTTGAATCGACTCACAGGCAGAATAAGAGTCCGTCGAATGAATTATCGCACTGTCGGGCCTCGCCATCGTGGAGGCAGCATCCTCGCTTGCATGCTCCCTCGCTTGCATTGAGGGGGATGTGGCGGTGAGGTGGAATCATTGAGCTCGAATTTCTGGACCAGTGGATTACATTGTTCAAATGTTTACAAACCGTGCGGTGTACCGCAGCGAGGGAATGTTATCGCGATTTTCACAAACGAGGATAACACACCCAAAGTGAAGCGAAGTAGAGAGTTGTGCGGCCCACCTCCTCACTTCATTTTCTTCAGGCTGTGGGGCCCTCACCTCACTAGCACACTGCTGAGCTCAGCACAGCTCGCATGGAGGCCACCATGTCAGCCGCGAGCATAGCGGCCGTTATTCCGCCGCTTGACGGCGTGCCGAGGCTCTGTCGTCCCCCGTTACAGTCACACTCTGTAGCAGTCGGGTCAAGGTCCAGCTTGTTTCTTAGCGGATCGCAGCTTCAGTCTCACCTTATATCGCAGCATTCCATTCCGCGTGCGCACTTACAGCCGACGCACTTAAATCTGCCACCGCGATTAGCGTTAAGTGCCAGGCGTTTTCTTCCCCGCGCGTGCCGCAGCTGCACCTACCCCAGTCGTCGCCGCGGCTTCGGCGGCTCCACGGGGCGGCAGAGACGGCGAATACGACAATAGTGACGAGTGGGACGACTCGCGTGCGTCCACTCGCCGTCCTGCCGATAACGGCGATGACTATAGCGAGGATTTTTTCGGCGATGCCGATGTGGCTTTGCCACCTGGCGCTCGGTTCGGGCAGAGAGATCAACCGGACGAGAGCTGGATGACCGATTCTGATTGGTCGAGGGGATCCGCGGGGCCGCGCAGAGGGGGGCAGGGTGGGGAGGGGGGAGGATATGGCGGAAGGCGGCAGCAGGGAGACGGGGGAGGGGTGCAGGGGAGCTGGGGGGAAAGGAGCGGGAGAGACGGGGGGAATGCAGGGCGGGGAGGGGGAGGATGAGGGGAAGCGCAGGCGGGGGGATGGTTGGGGGGAGTTAGAGGAGGCGGAGGGAGCAGCGGAGAGGCGCAGGGTTTTAGAGGAGCAGGGGATTGCACGGCAACGGCGGGGGTTAGGGTTTAAGGGAGGAAGGGGAGAAGACGGTGGTAGGATGGGGCGGTCCCAAGGGGGAGAGGGAAGAGAAAGTCCTGGTTTAGGGAGGGAGGAGACTCGCCGCGTCGAGGGTTTGGGGTTTATGAGGGAGAGGGAGGGTATAGCGGAGGGGAGAAGGGAGGGAAGGAGTTCGCTGGGAGTGCGACGGGACGCAAGAGAGGAGAGGTGGGCGGCGGGTGGGGAGAGGGGCTTCGATAGGGATGGAAGGGGTGTTGGTCGGACTGGGGAGTCGAGAGGTGCTGGACGGGGTGAAGAGGACGGGTGGGAGGGGAGTTCGAGGAGCAGAGGCGGCAGCAGTGGCGAGAGGAGTATCAGCAGGCGGCAATGGGAGGAGTATGAGGAGGAGGGCAGGGACCAGCGACGGACAAGTGGGTCTGGGGCAGCAGCCGCCGCAGCAGCCGCCGCAGCAGCAACGGCAGCAGCAGCAACGGCAGCAGCAGGCGCTACTCTGCTTCCCCTAGCCTCAGCTGCCCCTTCTTCCCCTGCCATACCTTCCGCCCCTTCGCCTCCCCCCTCCCCCTTTCCCTCCCCTTCCCCCACTTCCCCCGCCCCCTCCCCCTCCCCTGCGCGCGCCCCCAAGCTGAAGCTATCACGGCCGCGGGGGGTGCCGTCACCGGGGAAGCCCGGGGAGGGCGTGAGGCCAGGCGTGCCGGTGTGCTATGGGTGCGGGGCGGAGCTGCAGACCAGGGTGGAGGATGCGCCGGGCTACATCCCTCCTGATAGATACGAGATGGTGAGTGCCGGCTCTGTTATGAGACTTAAGGTTTAGGAAGGTTTCAAAAGTGGGCCTAGGGGATTGATAACGCAGATCTATGAGACGTAGATCGGTAAGCCACAGTCACACGCATCACTCCCTCCCAGTCCATCCCTCCTCCCCCTCCCCCCCTTCCGTTGCAATCACAGAAGCGCCGCTGCCACAAGCAGCTGTGGTCTCTCGCCTGCACGCGCTGCCAGCAGCTCTCCCACGGTCCCATGGTGGCATGGCAGCAGCCACCCAAACCTTTCCTCCCCTCCCTCCCTCCCCCCCACCCCCGGGATTTTCCACAACCACAGAAGCGCCGTCACAAGCAGCTGCGGTCGCTGGCATGCACGCGCTGCCAGCAGCTGTCCCATGGGCGCATGGTGGCGGCAGTGACGGGGCACGGCGGTTACCGCGTTACCGGCCCGGCCGACATGTTTGTGACAGCGGAGGCGCTGCGGCAGCAGCTGACGTACGTGCGCGGGGAGAAGGCGCTCGTGGTGAAGCTGGTTGACCTCGTTGACTTCAGCGGCAGCTTCCTGTCCCGCATTCGGGATATTGTTGGGCCGAACCCAATTGTCCTTGTCATTACCAAGGTGAGGAAAAGGGAAGGGGGAGCGGGGTGGAGCTTGAATGGTGTTGAGTTGCTACAGAGTATGCAAGGGGGAGAAGGCGCTGGCAGTGAAGCTCGTTGACTGCGTTGACTTCAGTGGGAGCTTCCTGTCCTGGATGCGTGATATCGTGGGCACAACCCCGTTGTTCTCGTGATCATCAAGGTGAGGAGGACGGAGTTCTTGGCCCCGCCTGGTGTGCCCTGGAGGGTATGCCCAACCCCAACGTCCATACCCCCATACCTCCACATAGACATGGGCAAATCGCGATTGCGATTTAAATCGCATCACGATGGGGGGCGATTTACCAAAAGCCGATGCGAGCGATTTAATTTCCCAGGAATTTTAAATCGCAAATCATGTTCAGAGGGCGATTTAAATCAAAATCGCGCGCAGCGATTATTTAAATAGCGCGATGCGATTTTAATCGCATCGCTTTCCTGGCCAGAATAAAACCCTCCCAAAAAGTCCCCAAAGAAAGGGGCAAAACACCTTGCGCGATTAAACCCTGTTGCGGCGTGGCCAAGTCTGCTCCGAAATGGGTGTTGATCCACCCGAATTTGTTGAGAAAGAGGGGTTGTGGGCATGGATGGTGTGTGTGCTAGGCTTCAAACGAATTGCCAAAGAGATTCTCCAAAAGAGAATCCCTTTGGTGCGTTTTTGGGCTTTGCGTTTCCCCCCCACCCCTTGCTGGCGAGATTTCGCGACAAAGTGTATTTCGACATTGCGCGCGATCTCTTTAAAATCGCATATTTTTGCACGCGATTAAATTCGATTAAAGAAAATCGCGCGATAAACAATAAATCCCATCGTGTACAGTAATTGTATTTTTGCCCATGTCTACCTCCACACCTCCACACCTCCACATCTCCACGCCTCCACACCTCCACACCTCCATGCCTCCTCACCTCCACACCTCCACACCTCCACACCTCCACACCTCCATACCTCCATACCTCCACACCTCCGCACCTCCACACCTCCACACCTCCATACCTCCACACCTCCATACCTCCACACCTCCACACCTCCAAACCTCCAGACCCCCAGACCTCCACACCTCCACACCTCTGCCCTCTAGAGGGCATGCACATGGAGCCGATTGCGGACTGGGTGCTGTGGGCTGTTGGACTCCCCTGCCCCCTGCCCCCTTCCCCCTGCCGCTGCTTCACCACACACACACACACACGCACACACACACACACAGACACACACAGACACACACACACATACACACATACACACACACGTGAACACACACACACACGTGTGCCTCGTCCCCCCCCTCGCAGGTGGACCTGGTACCGGAGGGCACGCACATGGAGCCGCTGGCGGACTGGGTGTTGTCGGCTGTGGCTAAGAAGAAGCTCAAGTGAGTCCAGGGTTTAGCAGAAGCTCAAGCGAGCCCAGGGTTTAGAAGAAGCCCAAGTGAAGTGAGTCCAGGGTTTTGACGAAGCTCAAGTGAGTCCAGGGTTTAGAAGAAGCTCAAGTGAGTCCAGGGTTTAGAAGAAGCTCAAATGAGTCCAGGGTTTAGAAGAAGCTCAAGTCAAGTGCTGGGCTGGGCTGGGCGAGTCCAAGGCTTTGTGCACACCGCACAGTCAGGGGGCTGAAGCTTGAAGGTTTGGGCTTTTGGATGAACGGCTAGCTGTGGCGGAATGGGCGGAATGGGCGCGTGGTGGTAGGCTTTTGAGTCGACTCAAATGCAGGCTTTTGGATGAACGGCTAGCCTGTGGCGGAATGGGCGCCTGGTGGCAGGGGAAGACCAGAAAGAAGCTCAAGGGAGTAGAGAGGTAGGGGAAGGCCTTTGTAGTCGAATCGAAAATAGGGAAAGGCGTCTGGTCTGGTGTCATGCACGCCTCTGCATCCCTGCTCCTGCTGACCACATTTGCCTACTCGTTTCACCCCTCACGCCCCCCCCCCCGTCCCCTCCCAGTGTGCTGGCAGTGCACTTTGTGAGCTCCAAGGTGTGCCTTGAGTTCTCAGCGCATCACAACCCCTCTCCTCTTATCGCCTCTGCATCCCTCCCCGTCTCTCCTCCCCCCTCCTCCCAGTGTGCTGGCAGTGCACTTTGTGAGCTCCAAGGCGCGCACAGGGCTGTCATCAGTGGCTGCCACCATTCAGCGCGAACGCCAGGTGTGTGTGGCTGTCGTGACAGGTTTTGAGTGGCCACCCGTTGTTTTCTTTCGGTTGCCATCTCGCCCACCTTCTCCTTGCTCTCCTTCCTTCTTTTGCTCCCCCTCACTCTCTCTTTTGCTCTCTCCCCCTCATTCTCCTCCTCCCCCCTCCTTTCGTCCCCCCCCCCTCCAATCCTCCCTTCCCGGTTATTTTTTCGTGGCCGTATGCCTTCCGTGATGTCATATCACCTCTTGTAATGAGTTGGCCTTGCCATGCCATGCCACAAACTGACCACTTCCTTCCTTCCTTCCTTCCTTCCTTCCGTCCATCCCTCTTCTCCCTCTTCTCCCTCCTCGTCCCCCGCACATGCCTGCAGGGCCGCGATGTCTACGTGCTGGTGAGTGCACGTCCCTTCACAAAGGATGGTCATGCGTCTTCTCTTGCCTGCCGATCGATCGCGTGCCCCTTTCTGCAACGAGCCCACCCTACCACGCACACCCTCTCTCTGCTTTGCCCGTCTCCTCCTGCCTCGCTCTTCCTGGCTTGTCTGGCTCCTTGCCCCTCTCCACGCCCTTGCCCCTCTCCACGCCCTTGCCCCTCTCCACGCCCTTGCCCCTCTCCACGCCCTTGCCCCTCTCCACGCCCTTGCCCCTCTCCACGCCCTTGCCCCTCTCCACGCCCTTGCCCCTCTCCACGCCCTTGCTTCCTCAACCTCCTTCAACAGCCTCTACCTCCCTGTGTCTCATCCACCGCTCTCCCTCTCTCCCTCTCACCCTCTCTCCCTCTCTCCCTCCGTCCCCCCCCCTTACATCTAAACAGGAATCGTTCTCATTCTTTAAACTCAGATCTCTCCCCTCCGCCCCACTCCTGCTTCTCTTCGTCTCTCCCAGGGGGCAGCCAACGTGGGCAAGTCTGCGTTCATCTGCGCCTTGCTAGGTACGCGAGGAGTCTATCCCAAGTAGTATGCGGATCGTCGGACATTCTTCCAGTGAGCGCAGTGACAGAAGTCAGTTTACACAAGTTTGAAAAAGCAGTAAATGCTTAGAGCTTACATAGCCAAGAGTTTGGAAAAAACTGGAGCTCTTCTCTTAACAGCGATTAAAACAGGAGACCATGGCAGCAGCGCCCCGTCACTCCACCCATCACATTCCTCCCCCCATTCCTCACCCCCCCCCCCCACCCCTCGCAGACGAGATGGCCAGCCGAGACATCATGGCAGCTGCGGCACGGCGCCGTCGCCCCGTGGCGTCCGCCATGCCAGGGACCACCCTGGGGCCCATCTGCATCAAGGCGTTCACTGGAGGCGGGGTGAGTGAAGGATGACGCTGATAATCACTGGCTCCTTTTTGCTCTCAAGCCACAGCACCATCGCCCCGTCGCCTCTGACGTGCCTGGCACTACCCTGGGCCCCTTCTGCCTCATTCCTGGGACGTCAAACGTGCCACTACCGCCTGTGCCACTACCCCCCGTGCTGCTACCACCCGTGCCACTACCACCCGTGCCACTACCCCCCGTGCCACTACCCCCCGTGCCACTACCCCCCATGTGGGGCATGCATGGGAGGAGGGGATGCAGGTGGGGGAACAGATGGGGAGGGGATGGGGGGGGGAATGCATGGGGGGGGGGGATGCATGGGGGGAGATGCATGGGGGGGGATGCCATCCCCCGTGCCGTTACCCCCCATTCCACTAACCCCCTTGCCACTACCCGACGTGGCATCCATTCTGCCTCTCCCTGGATCTGCATGATCGCATGGCTGCCTGCAGCCTCGTTGCATGGCCACGTTGAATTGAGTGCTCTAACTGCTCCCCAAACACCCCCCCCCCCCCCCCCCCCCTCTCCCCTCTTCCCCATATGCTCTCCAGGATCTGTACGACACGCCCGGGGTGCATCTGCACCATCGCATGGCCGCAGCCCTCGTTGCATGGGAATGCTGGATTGAGTGCTCTAACTGCTCCCCCCAAACACCCCCTCCCTCCCCCCCTTTCTCCTCCTCCCCGTATGCGCGCCAGGATCTGTACGACACGCCCGGGGTGCATCTGCACCATCGCATGGCGGCCATGATGCATCCGTGGGATCTGCATCATCTCGGCCCAAAGCGACGGCTGAGACCGTTCGTTGTCACAGGGCCTCTAGAAGCCGCTGGAAAGAGCCGCGAGGAAGGGGAGGAGAAAGAGGAGAAGGGGGAGCAGACAGAGGAGGGGGGAATGGCAGGAGGGGAAGGTGGTGCAGAGAAGCGAGATGGAGTGCAGGAGGGGCTTCAGGGGACCTCTCTCTTTTGGGGCGGCCTTGTTCGGATCGATGTGGTGAAGGCACCACCTGGCACAGCTCTCACCTTCTTTGGCCCCGTGGCCATCAGAGTGTCCTCTGTGCCCACCACTCACGCTCACGCCTTCTACGAGGTCATCTCTCCTCACCTCCTCCCACCACTTCCCACTCCGCGTTCTCTTGCTTGCTTCCACTGACTCTCTTCAGCCCTCTCCCCACTAATCTGGGACGCGTTTCAACTCACTGAAACCCCCTTTTCTCTTTATTGCCGAACACTCTCCTCATTTCCCTTACCTCTGTGTCTGACGTGGCAGGCTGAGGTTGGTCGGCTGCTCGTGCCGCCATCCCAGCCCTTGGAGGAGCCTGCCTGGGAGGGCTTGCCATCGCAGCGGTCCTTCTCCTTTCAACTGCCTGCCAAGCGCCTCAGGTTCGTTTCTTTTCCTTCTTATTTCTCGACAACCTTCACCTGCCTTCCAAGTGCCTCAGGTGCGTTTTGCTTCTTTCTTAGTTCTCATGTGTGATTTTCTCATTAATTCGCTCTGCATGTGATCTGTTCTTTCCATCCCAATCCACCAGCCCTGTAGCCGACATCGCAATCTCCGGCCTTGGGTGGGTCTCCTTGTCAGGCGTCAAGCCACGCCAGCGCACCAACCCCGATGCTGACGTGTCATCCATTGACGCTACAAACAGTTCGCATACTGGCACTAGGGATGATGCCTGCGCTGCTCTCACCGATCATGTCACTAGCTTCGAAGATTCGAGCTCAGACACGGCTGGTTTTGCAAGAAGCGGTCCATTTGAGAAGCAGGCGAACGATGTGGAGTTGCTGGTGCATGTGCCCAAGGGCATTGAGGTGTTCGTGAGGGCTCCCATGCCTGTTGGATGGTTCGCCGACGACTGGTATCAGTACGAGGAGCTGAGCGAAAAGGAGGAGATGGCGAGGCCTCGCGTGTTTGTTGATGATTCTTAAGCTCTTTACGTATTCCTTGATTTTACATGTAACCTTAAGGCTTTGTTAGTCAATAATCGCTTCTTGGGGGAATGAGGTAATGTGACTTCATGAAGTCAATATGACAATTGTTTTTCAAGTTGTGTTTTGGGTTGCTGCTTTGTCCGCTCGGTAACCAGATTCGTTCAAGCCAGCTTTTCGTCCGCGTTTTCAAACCTGGCTCCTCCTGACGCCAAAACCTTTCGGACCTTGGGATTGCCGACACCGACTGCTACTTCAGTGGCTGCTTGTTCTGTACGCCTCAAACCTAGAATATCATGTGCCGCCGCATCAGCACCAGAATTAGGAGATTCTAGGTTTCCGGGTGAATCGCAGATAGTTCCAGCCATAGCCGCAGAATAATACTGTCGAAATTCCTGAGTGTTCGCCTTAAATAGTTTTCTGGACTAAAGCCACTGGCGGAAATGGCAGGGGTGGGGGAAGCTCCGCCACCTGCTCTTCCGCCTCCGCCTGGAATGGCTGCTCCGCCAGGTCCGCCAGCGATGCTTCCGCCGACGGTGGAGGAGACCGTCCCGCTGAGCCTGCTAACGACTGCGACAGTTCAGCAGACCATGCGAGAGCTGCGACAACTGAGCGAATCGCTGGCGACGTCGCGTGCGATGGCAGAGGCAAGTGGGCGAGGTCCGGACGACGAGAAACAGAGAAAGGTCGCTCTGCTGAAATTCCTCTGGCATACGCGACAGAAGCTTCTGCGGCTGCTCGTTATAGCGAAATGGTGTAACCAGCTGCCAGTAATCGAGCGGTGCAAGCAAGCGTGGACTGCGCTGGCCAACCATGACGCAGCGTTTGTCCAAGCAGCAGACGGACTATGGATGACTCACGCACAGATACAAGGGGCCAGAGCACCTCTGTATGACGTTCCTACTGCCGTCGAAATTCTCTCCACGCACGCTTACCGCCGGTTACCCGCTTGCGTTGACGATCTGCAGCTCCCGCCGAACCTGATGCTGCAGAGGCTCGGGCCAGCCTCGGTAGCAGGGTTGGTGCCGCCGGCAGGGGTTGCTGCAGCGGCGACGGCAGCTGCTGAAGCTATGAGGTTGTTGGGAGAGGAGGAGGAGGAGGAGGAGGAGGGTGACGGGGAGAGGGAAGGGGAGGGGGAAGGAGAGGAGGAAAAATATTTGACATCCGTAGATGTGAAAGGAGCCAAGCTTGCTGAGACTGATGCTGCTGCTGCTGCTGCTGCTGCTCCAAGTGATAAAGAAGCTGAAGCTTTTCCTGCTGCGGCTGTCACAACTGCCACACCTGGCCCCACTGCAGCTGCTGATTCTCTCTCAGAGAGTAAGGAGACAAGCAAAGAGAAGAGGGTGAGGCTAAGAACCGCCAGGCGCAGCGGCAGGCGAGCAGCCATAGAGCAGATCAACTCGTTCCTGAGGACACGGCTGCTGGAGACGCCTATTCCCCCGGAGGTCACTAGGGTGCGCGTGGGAGGGGGCAAGGTGCGCGTGTACGTGGAGGGGGAGTATCAGGCGGACCTCACTTTGGGTTATGCTTCTAATCTGTCGCTCTGGCGGGTGATTAAAGTGAAGATTCTTGTACGGGGCGCTGAGAACGTGACTGAGGGCGAGGAGGAAGATTTGGAGGAGGAAGAAGAGGAGGAAGAGGAGGAAGCGGAGGAAGAAGCTGACAAGCACACTAAGGGAGGTGGAGGGAGAAAGGGAGAAGAGGTTACCAACGGGGGTTCGGGAGAGGGCACAAGGCACAGGAAAAGGCGCCAGCAGCTACTTCGGAGGCAGAAGGGCTTGTCAGGCAAGCACAAGGGCGTGCCCATGAGCGAGGTGCAGCAGCTGGCCCTGGCGGACGAGCTGCAGCGGCGCATGGCAGCAGCAGCTGAAGACCCAATCACGGCCCTCCACGTGGTGCTGCACCAGGTGTGCTGCGGGGTGGCGGCGGACGAGGTGCTCCTGCAGCTGCACGCCCTCTGCTCGGCGCGCTCCTCCCCCTCCGCGCGCTGGCTCCACCACCTCAAGTTCGAAGTCGCTGCCCGGGACGGAGGGGAAGGAGGGGGAGGGGGAGCGGGAGGGGGTGTTGGGACGTCTGTGGGACCTAGTGGGAGTAAAGGAGGGGCGGGAGGGATAGGGGGTAGGGGCGGATTGGGGGGAGGGAGGGGCAGTGGTTCTGCAGCAGCAGCGTCAAGTGCAGGAGCGAAGGAAGGGGAGAGTGCTGGGGCAGACGGGGCAGGAGCAGGAGCGGGAGCAGGAGGGGGTGTGGTGGGAGGGGTGGCAGTACCAGCAGTATCCCCTGCGCTGCTGCACATATGGTACTGGTTGGACCCGGGCAAGTCTGACAGCACGGGGGGCTCCTCTGCAGTGCTGGGCCGCCTGGGCATCGCCCGCTTCGAGAGCGACGAGGAACCGCCCCCCTGCCTCACCCTCTCTCTCGCCCCACCCCCCGCCACCCCTCTCCCTCCTCCCGCTGTCCCTCCTGCGTCTGCCCCTGGTACTGCCACTACCCCTGCTGCTGCTGCTGCTGCTGCTGCTGCTGCTGCTGTTCCTGCTCCTCCTCCCTCCACCCTGTTCTCACGCCAGCCGCTGCCCGCCCAGCTGGTTTGCCAGCACGTGCCGTCTGTGGTGGACCCCGTGACGGGCGGCGAGGTTTGTCTGTATCTGGACCCGACAAGGATCGACGTGGAGCAGCTGGTGCTGTTTGCCGCCCAGTGCTCTGCACACGCCAAGCTGGCGAGTCTAAGGCGCGACCTCCTGGCCTCCCCGCTGCTCTGTGCCGGCCCCCAAGACGCCGTCCTCTCCTTCCCTCCTCCGTCCACACGCTCCTCTTCTTTCTCTTCCGTCCCAAAACCTCCTCCTCCTTTCCAGCTTTCGCCTGAAGGTGCAGCGAAAAGTGCAGCGACTTTGGGGGAGAAGAGAGGCGGGGAGGAAGAGGAGGAGGGGGGGGAAGGGGATCTGAAGCAAGTTGGGAAGAGATTGGGCAGTGTGCTGGGGAAGCGGAAGAAACTGCTGGGCGCATTGGCTCTTGCTCATGGTATTCGTGGCAGTGGTGGCGCCGGTGGTGGCGCTCCACCCCATAACCCACCGAGAGGCAAGCGGCGGAGACAGGGAGACGGTGGGGAAAGGGTAGCACCAAGGGATAGACAGCAGGGGGGAGGCAGCAGCAGGGGCTGGGATGTGTTGGGTAGGGACGTATCTGGGCTGAGAGGGAGGGAGGTGCTGTGGGTGAGAGCGTGTGGCGGGTGGTTTGTTGGAATCGGGGTAAACACGCGGACCGGGCGGTACGAGGTGTGGGTGGGCGGCAAGGGTTTGTCCTGGGCGGCGGCGAGGGAGGTGGAGGGCGCGCTGAACAGTGGGAGCTCGACAGCTGGCGACGCGCTGGTGCTTCTGCGGCTGCACTGCCTGCATGCACAACTGACAGCAGCTGGAATTGCTCTGGGCCTGGTGGTGAGTTGGCAATAGCTGTTGGCACATCGGAATGCTCTGGTGCTGCTGCGGCTGCACTGCCTGCATGCACAGATAGCAGCAGCTGGAATTGCCCTGGGTGACTGGGTCTAGTGGTGAGCTGGCAATAGCTGTGGTGTGGGTCTAATGGGAACGCTCTGGTGCCACTGCTACTGCACTACCTGCCAGCTCAACTGACAGTAGCTGGAATTGTCCTGGGTCTAGTGGTGAGTTGGCAATAGCTGTGGGTCTAATGTGTCGTATGGGAATGCGCTGGTGCTGCTGCGGCGGCTGCACTGCCTGCATGTGCAGATAGCAGCAGCTGGAATTTCCCTGGGTCTAGTGGTGAGTTGGCAATAGCTGTGGGTCTAATGTGTCGTATGGGAATGCGCTGGTGCTGCTGCTGCGGCGGCTGCACTGCCTGCATGCACGACGTACACCAGCTGGAATTGCGCTGGGTCTGGCGGTCAGTTGGTTGCAGGGCGCAGGTCAACATAATTTACGTCGCCCGTGGTCAGGCCTCTCTGTTTCCCTCCCTTTTTCCACCGGTGTTCTAGGCCGTTAGTTGCTCTCTTTGTCAGTCCTCGTGCTTGTTTTCATACCTTTTCTCCATCTTTCCCTTCTTTTGCCTTCGCCTTCCGATTGCCTCACTCTTCCCTTAACCCTTGTGAGAGATTTTTGAGAATCCTAAAAAATCTTACACCTGTCTTCTTCAACCCTTTCCTTCTTCCCCTGCTTCTACCCCCCCCCCCCCCCCCTCCCCCCTTTCCCCCCTTCTCTTCCCCATACCAGCCCTATGAAGCCGGAACAGCAGGTATCCGCTTTACCACCGACGACCCAGCCCACTCCCTCACTCTCCCCCCCGCGCCCCGCACACTCCTCTTCTCCCTCTCGCACCCTCCTTTTCTCCCGTACCCCACCCACTCCTCTCCCTCGTCACCCCACCTCGTTCCTCCCTCCGCCCCTCCTGCTCTCACCCCCGCCTGCTGGCCGCCCTATCTCCTCGCCATTCACATCCAAACGGACTTCTCTCTCTCCTTCCGCCTCATCCAACTCACGTCTCCCCCACCGCTGCCAACTTCATTGCCCCATCCCGCTTCTGCTGCTGCTGCTGCCACTGCCACTGACGCTGGTGCTGCTGCTGGTGCTACTGCTGGTGCTGCTGCTCCCGCTGCTACAGCAGCAGGGGCAGCAGCAGCGGGGCAGTCGTTTGTGGCGTCGCTTGCCCCGCCAGGTGTCACACGCTGGTTGGCCCTGGAGGTGGGTGCGCTGGTGCTGGCGGCTGGAGATCCCGAGGTGGTCGCCCTGGCTGGTGCTATTGAGGGGGAAGGGGGAGGAGGGGAGATAGGGGGGGGAGGTGGGGAAGGGGAGGAAGGAGGGAGAAAGGAGATGGTGGGAGGGTGGGAGGAGCTCTTCGATTTGGGAGATGATTGGGAGGATGATGGTGGTGAGGAGTATCAGAGGCACGGATGGGGGTATGAGGAGGGAGAAGGGAAAGAGCAAGCTGTGGCTGCTTCCGTTGGTGGTGCGGCAATGGATGAGGACGGCATCAATGACAATGCTGATGCTGATGCTGATGCTGATGCTGATGTGACAATGGGCGGTGGAGCATCAGGCAAATCTGCTTCAAAGCGCAAGCAGCAGCACCACTCGTCCCGACCCCTTCGCTGCGCTCTGATTGGCCGGCCGCTGCAGGAGCTGGTACAGCTGGCAAGGAGGGGCAAGGCCCCTGCGTCCCTCGTCTTCCCCCTGGTGCTGGCCCGAGCCCAGCACCTGGCTGCTGCTGCCGTCAAACACTCCCTGCTCTCCTCCCTCCTCTCCTCCTCCGGTCTCTCCACCGTCCCCTTCCTCTCTGCCGCCTCCTCCTCCCCCTCCTCCCCCTTCTCACTCTCGCCCTCCTCCTCCTCCTCCTCCTTCTCACCCTGCCTGCCGCCCCTCATTGCCTCGTCCCTCTGCTCCTCCTCTCCTGCTGCTGCCCCATCCCCCGTCCGCCCCTCCTCCCTCGTCACGCCCCAGACCCTGCTTCGCATCCCGGGCTTCCCCCCCCCTGCAGCAGCAGCTGCGCTGCCCCCAGATACCGCCTCCTCCTGGCAGTGCCTGCTGTTGAGATCCGACTCGCCGGCTACTGCCAGCTGGTCCGTGCTGGTGCCAGCTCAGCATTTTGTCAGCTTGTGGCGGCTTCAGGAGTTTTGCCAGCTGCAGCTGCAACAGCAGCAGCAGCAGGAGATCGAGCCAGGAGGAACTTTTTCTAGACTAGCCGAACCTGACCTTCAAACCATATCAGCAGGCGGTGCTGCCGAGCCTGGTTTTATCGAGCCAGGTGCTGTCGAGCCTGGTGCCATGAGGCTCGGAACAAGGGGAGAGAGCAGAGGCGGAGGGGCTGAGCTTCGGATGAAGCGCCTGCTTCGCTCTTGCGACTGGGCGCGGGAAGGAGTGGCTTTCAGCGAGGAGAGTGACAGCAGCAGCAGCAGCAGCAGCAGCACTACCATCACCACCGCTACTGCCACCACTGCCACCCCCACCCCCACCACCGCTGCTGCCTCAAGCCTCAGAAACAGGGACGTTGCCCCAGGCATGCGATGCACTCCCAAGGGGCTCCTGCTGACGTGTCACAGCATGAGCCAATCCGCCATCTCCAGCATGGCACGTGACCTGGCGTGCGCATGGGAGGCCTTCCTCTTCGTCCGCCAGCTCAGACGCATTCTGATTGTCCGATGCAAGCCAGCAGGCGGGGGGAGAGCAGGGGGAGGGAGAGGTGGAGGGTGGGGAGGAGCGGGAGGTGAGGGGAGAGGAGGAGGGGGAACGGATGGGAGAGGGGGGGAGGTGTGGGGAGTGCAGGAGGCGGGGGATAGGGAGGAGATGGTGAGAAGGTGGGGGGAGGTGAGGCGGGCGGTTCGGGTGGTGTCTGTGGGGCCCACGTCAGTGTGTCTGGCATATGATGGCGGCATGCTCATGCCAGGCTGTCCTGTCCGCGTCCAGATTCAATGGATCCCGGCTGCCTCTAGTGCTTATGCTTCTAATGCTGCGGCTGGTGCTGCTTCTTCTGCTAGTGCTGGTTCAGGTGCAGGAGGGGAGGAGGGCGGCCAGGGGGCGGTGGCAGTGAAAAGGGAGGATGGTGCCGATGTAGGGGGCAATGGAGGTGGTGCTGCTGCTGATGCTGATGCTGATGCTGATGCTGCTGCTGTTGGTGGAGGTACTGGGGCTGATGACGGGGGCGATCTGCCGCTGGCTGTGGATTGCAGAGTGGTGGTTTCGCCAGACGACTTGTGGCCGCACACACAGGTGCAAATGGCTCACATTCCCAATCCCCAATCCCCGTCCCCTCACCTCTCTTCGTCCATCCACACCATTAGCGCTGATCACATGCTCGCATTCTCATCATATCAATCATCTGCTTCCTTCTCTTCCCCCCCCCCCCAAAACTCTGCCCAACCCCCAGAACCCTCTGATCTTTCTCTCTCTCCCGCACCAGTACCTGGAGGAGTGTGTGCGCATGGGCAATGCCGGCCTGTTGATCCGTGGTTAAGTAGGTTAGGTTTGAGACGCCTCAAAACTCACCCCCAACAAACAACCCTCTGATCCTTTCCTCTCCCCCCCACCAGTACCTGGAGGAGTGCGTTCGCATGGGCGATGCAGGCCTGTTGATTGACGCCATCCGCCTCACAGCAGCGCCTCTCCACGCCTTGCACTCCGCCATCCGCCCCCTCCGCTCCGTCTCCGTCCCTCCCCCCGCGCTGCTGCCCTCGCACCACAACCATCACCCCGCACCCCTGCAACCACAGCAGCAGCAGCAGCAGCAACCACACGCACAACCATCGCATTCTAGTGGGCCCCCACATTCCACTGCGTCTGCAGGCGCTGCTGCTTCTACTCCACCTGCCACTACAGCAGCAGCACCGGAAGCTTCTGCTTCTGCCGCTGCCTCAGCCTCTACTGCCGCTGCTGCTGCTGCCAATGCAGCCACAGCAGCATCCGCAGCGGCAGCAGCGGGGGCATCTCGAGGGTTGATGCTGGGGGCAACGCTCTGCACGCTGCTCCCGGGGGACATCAGCATCGTCCCCCGCGGCCCCTTCTCCTTCCGCATCATCTACCGCCACGACTTCGCCATCCACATGCGCTGCTTCGGCCCCGACTTCGTCTGGCTGCAGCCCGCCCCGCCGCCCAAAACCTACGACTTGCCGCCCGGTCTCGTCGCGAAATTCCCGGGAGCGTCCGCTGCTGTTTCCGCTGCTGCTGCAGCGGCTGGTAGTGCTGCCGCCAGCGGCGCCGGCAAACAGGCAGTAGCTAATGGTTCGCCTGGTGTTGCCGCTGGTGCTGCTGCAGCCGCAAGTGGTGTGATTCGAGGGGACCTCACTCTCGGAGGTTCCTTACCCTGCCCCCAGTTCCGCCCCTTCATTCTGGAACAAGTCTCTCTGCTGCTCTCACAGCTCGACCGCCACGCTCCGGAACCTCCGCCTGCTGCTGCTGCTGCTGCTGCTGTGGTGGCAACATCCGGGCCTGGCAGGCTCGGCAGGACAGGGCCGGTGGGGGAGAGTTTGACAGGTGGCGGGCAGCCTCCCATCGGACCAGGCAACTCACAGCAACAACAGCAACAGCTGCAGCAGATGCAGCACCAGCACCAGCAGCAACAGCAAGAGCAGCAGCAGCAGCAGCAGCAACGGGCGGAGATGCTGCGGTGGCAGCAGATGGCAGCCAACCTGGCCTCCTCCGTGCGCGCCGAGTCCCACACAGCCATGGTGGGCCTGTCGGACGACGGCGGGTACGGCGGCGCGTGGGTGCCGGTCGTTCTGCTCAAGCGTGTGCTGCGCAGCATGCTACGCTACCTGGGCACCATTGGGTTGTTCGCTCGCTTCCCTTCTGTGCTGGCGGCAGTGCTGGGGCCCGCCATGGGGACGAGGGAAGCTGGGTTGCTGTCGCAGGATCCCGAGCAGCCTGCACTGCGGTTCTTCATTGGGTGAGCCTCTCGCTCTCTTCTCTCTCTCTCTTCTCTCACTCTCTTCTCTTTCTCTGGCTTGCACGGAAGGTGTAGCTGCTTAGTGCTTCACTGGGTGGCTCTGCATCAACGGCTTGGTTGGATGCTGTCCTCCCCACTTCACCCCCCTTTATCTCTCTCTTTCTCACCCCCACCACCCCCCTTCATTTATCTCGCCCCCCCACCCAGCAACTATGTGTACATGGTGAATCTGCACCGCCATCGCCGCCCCACTGCTGGCGACCAGCTTCAGCTTATGCTGCAGGTGAATGCCATGCCATACCATACCATACCATACCCAGGTTGAGGCTGGGTTTCAAATAGTTAGGTTTTGATCCCCGGAGGTTCTCGGATCCGTGCTTCAAGGTTGCTGTGACATGCCATGTTATACCATGCAGGTTGCCCTACCGAGGCGCCTCAATCCATTCATATTAAAGCCCGAGTCTACATTGGTTGGCTATCAAGTTCAGGATTCCTGAACTTGTTTTCGTAAAAGTAGGAGTAACCCAGTGCTGGGGACCGCCACATCGCGACCCTCAGTGAAACGGGGCTGTGTGCGAAACTCGCTATATGAGACAAACCTAGAACTCACTGTTCACTCATACTGAAGTTGAAAACGCCCCGTACCATTCTAGACGCATTTTTTGCCGAGACTCGGTGACGCCAGAACAGTTGTGTATAGTTTGCCCCCCCCGCCCCCAACCACGTCACTATTTGCGCACTGCTGATTGCAAGTTGTTGGGCTCCTTCTGTGTCACGAGCGATGAATCTTTTTCGCCGATAATTATCTGTCGTTAGAGGAGCTTTGCCGAAATCGGTTTCGTGCAGTGTTATTGACACTGTTATCATGGACAGTATACATGGTTTTCTACCATTCTAGACTCAGGCTTTAAGCATGTTCCCTTGACCCTACCTCCCGCCCCCCTCCAGGTTGTAAACGCCCGCATGGCTCCACAGCGCCGCCCGCCCGCGATGACACACGATGCTGACGTGGACATGACCCCTGCTGAGCTGGCGGAGATCAGCGACCTGTTTTCACGCAAGGTGGCAGTGGAGCCCTTCGATGTATCCCGTCTGTCCTCCTTCGTGACACTTGTCATGCTCCCATTGGCTGTAATCCGTGAGTTCATGGGTCTGCTCGCCATGAGAAGGGAACAGCAGCGCCTGCTGGCCGCTGCAGCAGCAGCAGCAGCTGGAGCGGGTGTGGCAGCAGCAGCAGCATCAGGAGGGGCGGTATCAGGGGGAGGTCCATCTGCAGGTGCATCTGGGGCAGGTAACATCCCAAAAATTCATCCAGCCACCCGAGTCACAGTGGATCTGTGCTTTGAGAATCGCATCGGTCTGGGATGGGACCTCCCAGATTCTTTTGGAAAGAACAGCGGAGGCCAAACTGGGGGAGGTGTATCTGCAGGGCAGGTTCACCCAGGCTCTGGTACAGCTGGCAGTACAGCTGGCAATAGTGCCGACCGCAGCGATATCAGTTACAGCCGGGCAGACAGTCGGGTGGATTTCTCTCTCGTCCTGCTCATCGACCATGCCGCCCTCTCCGCTGCCCATCTGCCGGTCCACATCGCAGGCGGCGCAGGCTGGCTGGCGCACTGCGTTTCGGTCCGCCTACGCTTGCATTTCTCTGCCGCCCCAGCTAATCCGGCAGCTGCTGGTACAGGTGCAACTGGTCCAGGTGCCGCCTCTGTTGCTCCGGGTGCGCGAGGGCCGTTGATTCTGCAGCTGTCGCTGCTGGCCGTTGATGGGAGTCATGGGGGGAAGGGATGCTGGAGTAACACAGAGGACTGGGACAGGTGTAAGCAGCTGATCGGTAAGGCAATCAAGGAGATGCCACCACCACCGGCAGCAGCTGCTGCAGCAGCGGCAGCAGCAGCAGGAGGGGGGGCAAAGGAGATGGGGGTGGTGGTGGGAGGGAGAGGGTGGTTGAGGGTTTTAGCTGAGAGGTTGCAGGCAGCTGTTCATTCTGCACTAACCTTGTCTCATAGGGGTTGAGTTATCCGCTGGGCGAGTTGTTATGCTACCCATAATGCTAGTTGGGAAGATTGCTGTGTCATGCATAGTACAAAAAGAATAAATGATAGGAAAAGCGTGCGGGTTTAGCAGCCATGCCCTTGGACACCTTATCGGGCTTCAGGGAGTGTATACATCAATTGGAGAATGTTATGCCACCAAGCCAGTTGGTTCAATGTAGTTTTAAACAGCCTCGACCCTAAACTACAAGCCAGTAGGTAGGCTGACCGTTTCCAAGAATTTGTATTTATTCAAGTGGTGTGTACTTCGGAGGTTAGCTTTGCTTGTATGGATTGCGAAGTAGGACATCAATCAGGGCTTGCTGTAAGGAATTACGATTCCTTGGGCTTGCCACAGCGAGTACACGCGAATAGTTCGTGTCCGCAGGCTCGGCCCTCAAGTCACGCGCCAAACCAGCCCCCGTCGACCTCGTCGGTCCCCAACCTCTTCCCGAGTCGCCCCGAACCCATTTTGACCCCGTAACCCTCGGGACTATCGAGCCCTTGACTGGTCCAACACTCGACATTCAACCTGGTCAACTCGCCTTATATATTGCCTAGGTCTCATTTCTATCGTCATTCTGTACAACATTGTAATCACGTTCCCCTACAGTATTCTGCGCTATACTCTGAGTTATAATTCATAACACTTGCAACGAGCTTCTCCACAGCGTAACATCGTCGCTAGTTCTGTACAGTATTCCCGACCATGGGGTTTGTCCGAACCGAACCCAGAAAAGTGGCCCTCACCAGGGCGCACGCTAAGGTTTTTTAAGACTCTATTTCTCCCGGATTCCCCACCCCCCTGCACCTTGATTCATCCGGATTTCAGGGTAGTTGATTTCTGTTTCATCCGGATTCGGGTACAAAGTTACTTTTAGCCGAGTTACAGCAAACATTGACTCGGACATGTCAAGATGTTCAAGGTCCAAACAAGGTAACATTTGCGGAGTGCCAGAAAAAGAGAGTACTTTTGGATTTGCTATGTTAGGAGTGTGAATTTCCTCCATTAGTTTTCTGACAAACCCGCTAAAGTAGGGTAGAATATGTGCCAGCAACCTTCGCAACTTTCCGGGTTGCGGGAAGGGGGAGGAGGGAAACGTGGCTAAACGTTTTTAGCCAAATTTTCATAGCTCCGTGGGCATGCGGGGCTGTAAGAGGAATTCTCCAGTCTGTGAGGGACGCCAAATATTCAAGGTTTAGGATGGCCTGGGTGGGAGGCACGCCCCCAGAAGACAGGAAAATTTTCCTGATTCAGGAAAAAAACAGGGAGTTTCTCGGTACTTACCCTGATTGTGCAGGGTTTTGTAAATGACACACCCTGTTTTTTCAGGCTTTTTGTAAGGGTAAACTCTGATCCCTCAGCAAGGTTTCTTAGCGAACCCTGAATTTCTCAGCATTGTAGCGGGTCTTAGTCCTTTCCATAAGCGTGTCTAGGGGGGGCAGTCAAGAATTTCGAGGTTCTCCCCCCCCCCTTCCCCCACCCCCCGAGGCTGTGTGAGGGCGCTGATTGGCCCTTGGTCAAAAAAATATCCGCGCTGTATGTTGGAGGTCATGTGAGGGAGGTGTGCTGAGGACTGTGAGGGCAATTGCTGGCCCTTGGCCGAATTTGCTTGATGTGCGCCTGCCCTAGGGCTCTGCGAGGGAAGAGATTCCCTCCGCCCCTGCAATCTTGTCGCCTCCCCCCCTATTCAGCCCTTCCCCCCTCTCCCCCCCACCAATTGTCTTTTCATGCCCATCCCCCAATCTCGTCACACATGCGAGAATTCGCTACGAATTCCCAGCACCCCCAAAAACTAAGACTTGAACACACAAAAATCATGAACTAGAACATGTATAGAAAGATTGAAAAACCGGTATTTTTTTTAAAGTAATTCTGATGGCTCAGGATTTTATTTAAGGGGACCCTGAAAATTGAGACTTTTCTGCAGGGAGGATCCTGATGGATCAAGAAGCCTCAAAACCAATCTAGGGTCCTGGTGGGAGGAGTCTCTCTGTGTAAAATTCTCTATGTTTAAGGGAGACTTAGCCAAATACTCTATGCTGTAGGGTAAATGCAGGAATGTTCCTGCAATGAGGACTAGCCGAAGTTTCGTGGGTGTAGGTAGGAGGACTATCTCTGTTTGGGAGGGACTTAGCCGAATTCAACTATGATCGAGGAAGGAATGTTCCTGACTGTGACGGACTTAGCCGAAAATTCTGGGTTTCAGGTGGTGCGCGTGGGAGGAGCACGGTATGTCTGTGTGTGGGGGACTTTGCCATATTTGCTTGGTTGCGGGGTTAAGGAAGGAATGCTGCTGGAAGTTGGGGACTTAGCCAAATTTTCTGAGTTTTGCTGGTGTGGGAGTTACGTGTGTGAGGGACTTAGCCGAATTTCCTGGGTTCAGGGGCTCCATGGGATTGTTTCTGAAAGTTTGGGACTTAGCCGGAAAAAATGTCACTGCCACACTGGGTGCGAGGAGGGGGGAAGGGGAGGGGGGTGGGGGGGGGTATTTCTAGGCAGTTGCAGCCGGATTGCCCCCCCGGCGAATTCTGATCTTGCCAGAAGATGGAAGAAGATGGAAGAAGTTGGAAGAAGATGGAAGAAGATGGAAGATGGAAGAAGATGGAAGAAGATGGAAGATGGAAGATGGAAGATGGAAGATGGAAGATGGAAGATGTAAGATGGAAGATGGAATATGGAAGATGGAAGATGGAAGATGGAACATGGAAAATGGAAGAGGGAAGAGGGAAGATGGAAGATGGAAGATGGAAAATGGAAGATGGAAGATGGAAGATGGAAGATGGAAGATGGAAGATGGAAGATGGAAGTTAGAAGATGGAAGATGGAGGATGGAAGATAGAAGATGGAAGATAGATGGAAGATAGATGGAAGATAGATGGAAGATGGAAGATGGAAGATGGTAGATGGAAGATGGAAGATGGAAGATGGAAGATGATGGAATATGGAAGATGGAAGATGGAAGATGATGAAAGATGGAAGATGGAAGATGGAAGATGGAAGATGGAAGATGGAAGATGGAAGATGGAAGATGATGGATGATGGAAGATGGAAGATGGAAGATGGAAAATGGAAGATGGAAGATGATGGATGATGGAAGATGGGAGATGGAAGATGGAAGATGGAAGATGGAAGGTGGAAGATGGAAGATGGAAGATGGAAGATGATGGAAGATGGAAGATGGAAGATGGAAGATGGAAGATGGAAGATAGATGGAAGATGGAAGATGGAAGATGCAATATGGAAGATGGAAGATGGAAGATGGATGGAAGATGGAAGATAGATGGAAGATAGATGGAAGATAGATGGAAGATTGAAGATAGATGGAAGATGGAAGATGGAAGATGGAAGATGGAAGATGGAATATGGAATATGGAAGATGGAAGATGGAAGATGGAAGATGGAAGATGGAAGATGGAAGTTAGAAGATGGAAGATGGAGGATGGAAGATAGAAGATGGAAGATAGATGGAAGATGGAAGATGGAAGATGGTAGATGGAAGATGGAAGATCGAAGATGGAAGATGATGGAATATGGAAGATGGAAGATGGAAGATGATGAAAGATGGAAGATGGAAGATGGAAGATGGAAGATGGAAGATGGAAGATGGAAGATGGAAGATGATGGATGATGGAAGATGGAAGATGGAAGATGGAAAATGGAAGATGGAAGATGATGGATGATGGAAGATGGGAGATGGAAGATGGAAGATGGAAGATGGAAGGTGGAAGATGGAAGATAGAAGATGGAAGATGGAAGATGGATGGAAGATGGATGGAAGATGGAAGATGGAAGATGGAAGATGATGGAAAATGAAAGATGGAAGAAGATGGAAGATGGAAGATGTAAGATGGAAGATGGAAGGTGGAAGATGGAAGAAGATGGAAGAAGATGGAAGATGGAAGATGGAAGAAGATGTAAGAAGATGGAAGAAGATGGAAGATGGAAGATGTAAGATGGAAGATGGAAGGTGGAAGATGGAAGAAGATGAAAGAAGATGGAAGAAGATGGAAGATGGAAGATGGAAGATGGAAGATGGAAGATGGAAGGTGGAAGATGGAAGAAGATGAAAGAAGATGGAAGAAGATGGAAGATGGAAGATGATGGAAGATGGAAGATGGAAGATGGAAGATGGAAGGTGGAAGATGGAAGATGGAAGATGGAAGATGATGGAAGATGGAAGATAGAAGATGGAAGATGGAAGATGGAAGATGGAAGATAGATGGAAGATGGAAGATAGAAGATGGAAGATGGAAGATGGAAGATGGAAGATGGATGGAAGATGGAAGATAGATGGAAGATAGATGGAAGATAGATGGAAGATTGAAGATAGATGGAAGATGGAAGATGGAAGATGGAAGATGGAAGATGGAATATGGAATATGGAAGATGGAAGATGGAAGATGGAAGATGGAAGATGGAAGATGGAAGATGGAAGATGGAAGATGGAAGATGGAAGATGGAAGATGGAAGATGTAAGATGGAAGATGGAAGAAGACGGAAGAAGATGGAAGATGGAAGATGGAAGATGGAAGATGGAAGATGGAAGGTGGAAGATGGAAGAAGATGAAAGAAGATGGAAGAAGATGGAAGATGGAAGATGATGGAAGATGGAAGATGGAAGATGGAAGATGGAAGGTGGAAGATGGAAGATGGAAGATGGAAGATGATGGAAGATGGAAGATGGAAGATGGAAGATGGAAGATGGAAGATAGATGGAAGATGGAAGATGGAAGATGCAATATGGAAGATGGAAGATGGAAGATGGATGGAAGATGGAAGATAGATGGAAGATAGATGGAAGATAGATGGAAGATTGAAGATAGATGGAAGATGGAAGATGGAAGATGGAAGATGGAATATGGAATATGGAAGATGGAAGATGGAAGATGGAAGATGGAAGATGGAAGATGGAAGATGGAAGATGGAAGCTGGTGTTAGGATTAAGGACGGAGTCTAGGTGAACTTAGGAGCTAGAATTACTCAAAATATAAATCCGAAATTATGGACAGAAAAGTCATCTTCACAAGAAACGACGTCGACAAAAAGCTAGCCGTTGGAATGTCGCGAAACTCTGGTATGTTCTAGCTCTTAATCTCACATACCGTTCCCAATTTGAATCACGTTCATTGATGAAGTATTCGTGACGCTATGGCTTTCGACGCATGAGGGGGTAAGCTGTAGGAGGAGAACTTAACTCAATCTCAAAAGTTCAATCAAGGTTCAAGAATCTCACAAGGAATTAGAGGAGCAAGAGAAAGGTTGGGATAGAAGAGAGGGATGAGAGGGAAGGTCCCAAGAGAGTCCCTAACCAAGGAAACCCCATAAGCACAAAGATTCCCCCCCTATAGGAACCCCAACTTTGACATTTGTCCCTTCCCAACCAATCCATCCAAGTTGGCCACCTTTGCCAACCTAGCTTGGTTGTTTCCAACCAATTTGCAGCTGTTACAATAGAGTGACGAATTTCGCCAATCCCAAAGGTCCCAACTCCATATAAAGTCACCCCACAACTTCACTTTGTAACCGCCGCAATTGTAACGCAAGCTCATGAACTTTGAATCTTCATAGCTTTCGCGTTCTTGCTCCGATTGAAGGGATTCTCGTTGCGTCGGAAAGATCTTCTCAAGATATATCATCACAAATACCTGCTCAAACAAAAATAACACATAACACATTCCCAAAATCCAGAACACACCACACACAAATTCTTTCACACGTTCAAACCACACTTGCAAGTTGAAAACATGGGATGGGAGGCAGACAGAATGTGATAGCATATGATGACATCACACAACACGAAGTTCGGCAGAAATGCAATTCGGCTATCTCTTTTGTTGACGACCCCCTCGGCTGAAACAAAATTTGGTAGAAGCACGGCAGAGAGTCATCTCGGACTTCGCTTCTGCGAGTGACCCCTTCGACAGAAAACGAGGACTTAGTTTTTTCTGATGACGGAACGTTCCGCAATCGCGAGAAATTTGCGATTTCGTAAGTTAACCTCAGAACCGATCTGGACCAAACAACGGCAAAATCTACCAGCGACATTGAGAAATTGAACACGTGGCACACATTTCGTAACTGCGGAAATGTGCGTAACATCTGACAGTTTCATTTCTGAAACTGTTAGAATAACTACTTCTAAGTAGGTAAAAATTACCAACTAAGCATATGCTGTAATTTTCACCTGCCATTGCTGACTTGGCTAAGCGCAGCTTAGAGTAGTTCTGTAAACGTTCTCGTGCGAACGTTCTCTCTGTGTTCAAATGAGTTTCAATGGGGTAGTACTAGTGTTTGCCTTGTGTACCATACTTTGTAATCTTGATTCTAGTGAATTTGTGTGCCCAAGCTTTCTCAAAAGCTACGCAGTGAAACACACAATTCTGAAGGCAACTTTCTTCTTTGAGAACGACAGAGCTAGAGAGCTCTATCTGCATCAGGCACTTCTGCAGAAGCTCCCGTAATAGCAGAAAACTCTGCATGGTGCGGTGAGCGTGGATCGAACACCTGAACCATAGAGGTCGAATCGACTACGTTAGGTCTCGCAGAAGGTCTTGATTGTCGATATGACGGACGGCGAGTCGGATGTCCGTGAGGTGGTCGATGATCTCGAGGCGTAGGAGGCTGCCTTGATAGCTCGCTATGAAGACCTCCCAGAGAAGGAGCTCGAATTCATGCTGATGGGGTTACGAGCTCAATGGGAGATGGATCATCCGCGGGCGCGTGCAGTGGAAGACTCCCGAGACAAGGAGAACGTGGAAGGTTTGGCAGAAGGCAGAGTGCGAGAGTCACGCGGTGTTCTACGAGAAGGAGAAACGCTGAATGGTGAAGGATCAAGCGTGGGCGACGGAAGGGACCCTGCAAGGGAGTCAAGCTTGAAGAAGAAGAGTGCTGCTGAAGAAGGCCGTTCTGGCGGTCGTGACGGCGCAAACAACGCTGCCGATGGCTCTACTGCCTTTCTACCGACAGCCTCGAAGGATAGAGGGATTGCTCCTGAATTCGGCTACTTCAAGTTTTCTCCTGACAAAATCGTGGTGCCAAGGCTCCTTGAGGGACAACACGACTTGGCGTCGTGGGTCGAGTCCATAGAACCTCAGCTGGAGATTGCGCAACTAAGGCGGTTTGTCGACGGGTCAACGAAAGCCCCTCCTGTGTCGGATGCATTGTGGTACGGGCAGTTCCGCTCTGTCCAGCTGCTGACATTCATGGTGATCTCGCGCTGCTGCTCGCCTTCTGTGAAGATGGCATTGAAGGGTTGTCGTCTGCGAGTGGATGCGGGCTACCAAGCATGGCGATTCATCATGAAGACTTACAAGGCTACTGACGATCTCTACATCGGTCAGTTGGAGCAGAGTCTGGCAAGTCTGGAGATGGCAGAGTACGAGACTGCTACCGCCTACTGCACCCGTGCACATCAGTTGCTGGCTAATCTGTGGATGACTGGAGTACGATACTCGATGGCTTCCTACGTGACACACGTTGTCAAGGGTCTGCCATCGCAGTACAGCTATCTACGGTGCATGATCAAGTTTCCGGATGTGCGGAAAACCCTCGACGAAAACACTCTGACGAGCTACGTCGTTGAGGAAGAATCTACCCTTGCGATCGAGCAGTGCAATGAGTCTCCTCTGCCACAATTGAACTGGGCGTCGACGGGACAACCACCTCGGCAGCAGCAGCAGCAACAGTGGCGATGGGTCTCTTCTACGAATGACTCCGCCGCAGAGTAGAAGGACGGCCGCAACGACAAGAAGAAATCGGCCAAGAAGAACAAGGATAAACCATGTTTCGTCTGCGGTGAAATCGGTCACTTCACTGCTCAGTGCCCAGATTGCAAAGGCAAGAGGAACGATGATCATTCGCAGAAGCGAGAAAGTAATCCGCCCTCTGGCACGCAGAGTGGTGGCTCTTCTGAGAACTCTGGTTCTGCTGATCGAAAAGGACCCTCGTGTGCGATCGTAGAACAGCAGAAGACGGACGATCTGCCCATCTCGTTGGATCCAGAAGATGGCGAAGACTTCCAGGCGATTGTAGCTGCTGTGGAAGCCAACCCTGTAGTCATTCTACTGGAATGTGGATGTTCGCACCACCTCATGGGAGATGACAAGGCTTTCGTAGAAATGCGCAAGGACGGCGAAATCCGGCACGTTCGCGGATTTAACGGTGCCATCCAAGCTGTTCGAGGACGGGGAACCATTGCTCTGCTTGGCGAGGCTGGGAAGAGGATTTTGGTCCCAGATGTACTATACGTCCTTGGAATCCAAACCAATCTGCTTTCTGCCGGGCAGCTGAAGGACTGTGGAGTGAAGCTGAAGGACACTGGCGAGGAAACTATCATGCTCTCTGCGGACGACATTCTGCTCGGGCAAGCTCGATAAAAAGGCCGGGTTCTCAGCACCAATCTGCAGCCATGGCCGCAGCAAAAGCCTGCGGCAGAAGCGATTGCTCTGCGCACATTGGCAACCAACGCGCGCTCCTCTACGGACGTGTGGCATGCTCGTCTGGCCCATGCTGAGGTCGAGATGATTCGGCGGACTGCGGCGCACGGAGCAGCTACGGGCTTGGATATTGAGAAGACGCCGAGCACTGATCTGCCGTGTGTCTCTTGTGTCGGTGGCAAACTCGCTCGACATAGTTTTCCGGCAGAAGGGAGTGACGAAAAGAAAGTGCTGAGAATAGCTACAGTTGGGGATAAGGAGTGGATCCCATATACCAAGTGATATGGGAGTGCTCCAGCTGTGAACATGCTGAGGGCATTTGGGTGCATGGTAGTGTTTCATGTGCCTAAGGAGAAAAGAGGGAAGTTGGAGGCTTCTGGAAGATGGAGTGTGCACTTGGGGATTGCAAAGGATCACAAGGGGTGGCTGCTATGGGAATTGACCACCCAGAAGCTGACAGTGTCAAGGGATGTGAAGTTTCTTGAGTCCCTATACTACAAGGAATGGAAGCAGCAACAACAGAAGCTTCCATCTACACCGCTCATTGTGGAGGCAGATGAGGTGCAGCGGCCTTCAAGACAGGTGGAGGTTGCAGTGTCTAAGGAGGAGATGTTTGGGGTGACTGAGAAAGGGGGAGCAGCTAAAGTGGAGCAGCAGCAGCAGCAGCAGCATGAGTTTCCACCTCGAGTTCCACACCCGCCTGAGTGACCTAGGAGGGATGTGCGCCCTCCGGTGAGGCTGACCTATGGGGGAAGAGGCAAGCCGAATGTGGTGCAGGCTGGGAGTGTGGTTGAGCAGATTGAGGAAGATGAGATCGCTCACTGCTACTGGGCACCAATCCCTGAGCCCAAGACTCGAGAGGAGGCCTTGAATGGACCAAATGGGGAGAAGTGGAAGGCGAGTGAGGATGAGGAGTTCGGGTCCCTGATTGAGAACGAGACATGGGACCTGTGTGACTTGCCTCCTGGGAAGAAGGCAATCACTTCCAAGATGATCTACAGGCACAAGTATGGACCTGAAGGGGAGCTGACCCGCTACAAGTCTAGGCTTGTGGCACGGGGGTTTCAGCAGACAAAGGGGAAGGACTATGATGAGGTGTTTGCTCCTGTGGGGAAAGGAACAACACTAAGGGTGCTGTTGGCGATAGCTGCACTCCTTGGGATGGAAGATACGGCAGATGGACATTGTGACTGCCTTTCTGAATGGGATCATTCTGGAGGAGGTGTACATGAAGCAGCGAGAGGGGCTGGATGATGGGAGCGGAAGGGTCTGCAGGCTGAAGAAGGCCATCTATGGCCTTAAGCAGGCGCCTCGTGCATGGTATCACAAGTTGGAGGAGGCGTTGTTGGCTGGGGGTTTCAAGAAGAGTGAGTGTGACCCCAGCCTATTCCTGTTGCAGGAGAAGGATGAAATCCTCATGCTCTTGGTGTATGTGGATGATATCCTTCTCTTTTCTGCATCAACTGCTTTGCTGGACAGCGCAGAGCAGATGCTAGAGATGCAGTTCAAGTGTTCCAAGATGGGTGAGGTGAAGTACTACCTGGGGATGCATGTGGAGAGAGATGTGGAAAAGGGTGTGCTAAGGTTGCACCAGAGGAAGTACTGTGAGGGGTTGGCTGAGAAGTATGGGCTGCAAGATGGGGGAAAGCCAGCAACACCAATACCTTCAGGGTTTTACTGTGGAGCCAAGTGCTGATGAGGAGGTAGTGGGTGAGAGTGACAGGAAGCTGTTTCATTCGATGGTTGGGTCGCTGAATTATGCTGCAAATCATACACGGCCTGACATTGCATTTGCTACATCACACTTGGCTAGTGTGGTCTCACGCCCTAGTCATGAGTAGCTAGAAGCGGCCAAGAGGTTGGTCCGCAATGCGAGCGCTACGGCATCAGTGGGATTGGAGTACAGTGGAGTGAGGCAGCGGTTGCAGAGAGGTGCTGCAGATGTGAAGAATGGAGAGATGCTCTTGAGTTGCTATACTGACACTAGCTTCAACTCAGTGAAAGCGGATGGCACCAGCATTGGGGGATATGTGTGCTTGCTAGGAGGTGGTACTGTGAGCTGGCGCAGCAAGAAGCAGAATGAGGTGGGATTGTCCTCATGTGAGACTGAGTACATGGCCTTACACCATGGGGTCAAGGAAGTGGTGTGGCTGAGGCGTTTGTTGGAGGAGTTGGGAGTTGGCCAGGAGGAGCCGACACTTGTGTTTTGTGACAATGAGTCTGCTATGAAGCTTGCCAAGAATGCTTGTCTGCATGGGCTGACAAAACACATAAGGCCTAAGTGGCATTGGGTGAGGAGACTCCTTGATAAGGAGGTGCAGCTGGAGATAGTGAAGACCCATCAGCAAGCAGCAGATATTTTCACTAAGCGTCTGGCGGAGGCGGATCATTGGAAGGGCATGAAGCTTGTTGGGATGAGTGTGAATTGAGTATGCATGCTTGGGATGTTGGTATAGTGGATGATGGTTGGCAGCCAGAGGGGGAGATTGTTGTGTGATGTCATCATATGCTATCACATTCTGTTTGCCTCCAATCCCTTGTTTCAATTCGCATGTATGGTTTGACAGTGTGTGAAAAACTTTGTGTGGTGTGTGTTCTGGAGTTTGGGAATGTGTTTTGTGTTATTCTGTCTGAGCAGGTGTTTGTGATGATAGATCTTGAGAAGATCTTTCCGACGCAACAAGAATCGCTTCAATCGGAGCAAGAACGCGAAAGCTATGAAGATTCAAAGTTCATGAGCTTGCGTTACAATTGCGGCGGTTACAAAGTGAAGTTGTGGGGTGACTCTATATGGAGTTGGGACCTTTGAGGCTGGGTAAATTCGTCACTCTACTGTAGCAGCTGCAAATTGGTTGGGAATAACCAAGCTAGGTTGGGAAGGGTGGCCAGCTTGGATGGATTGGTTGGGAAGGGACAAATGTCAAAGTTGAGGTTCCTATAGGGAGGGAACTTTGTGCTTATGGGGTTTCCTTGGTTGGGGACTCTCTTGGGACCTTCCCTCTCATCCCTATCTTTCTATCCCAACCTCTCTCTTGCTCATCTAATTCCTTGTGAGAGTCAAGAACTTAGATTGAACTTTTGCGATTGAGATAAGTTCTCCTCCTACAGCTTACCCCCTAGTGCGTCGAAAGACAAATTGTCCTCAGTACTCCATCAATCGACGCGATTCAAATTGAGAACAGTAGCTACGATTACAAGCTATAACATATCCGATTTTCCCGACATTCGAACAGCCAGTGTTTTGTCGACGTCATTTCTTGTGAAGACTTTTCTGTCCAGAATTTCGGAATTATATTTTGAGTAATTCTAGCTCCTAAGTTCACTTAAACTTCGTCCTTAGTCCTAACAAAGCCAAGCGAAGCCAAGCAAAGCGAAGTGAAGCCAAGAAAAGCCAAGCAAAGCCAAGCAATGCCAAGCGAAGCCGAGCGAAGCGAAGCGAAGCCACGCGAAGCGAAGCGAAGCGAAGCGCAGCGAAGCGAAGCGAAGCGAAGCCAAGCGAAGCGAAGCCAGCCAAGCGAAGCAAAGCAAAGGGAAGCGAAGCGAAGCAAAGAGAAGCCAAGCAAAGCCAGGCGAAGCGAAGCGAAGCCAAGCGAAGCAAAGCCAAGGGAAGCCAAGCGAAGCCAAGCAAAGCCAAGCGAAGCCAACCGAAATGAAGCCAAGCCAAGCCAAGCCAAGTGAAGCCAAGCCAAGCGAAGCAAAGCCAAGCGAAGCCAAGCGAAGCGAAGTGAAGCCAAGCAAAGCCAAGCGAAGCCAAACGATGCCAAGCGAAGCCAAGCAAATTGAAGGGAAGCGAAGCAAGCGAAGCCAAGTGAAGCCAAGCGAAGCCAAGCCAAGCGAAGCAATGCCAAGCCAAGCGAAGCGAAGTGAAGCCAAGAGAAGCCAAGCGAAGCAAAGCCAAGCGAAGCAAAGAGAAGCCAAGCAAAGCCAGGCGAAGCAAAGCGAAGTGAAGCAAAGCCAAGGGAAGCCAAGTGAAGCCAAGCAAAGCCAAGCAAAGCTAACCGAAGCGAAGCGAAGCGAAGCAAAGCCAAGCCAAGCCAAGCGAAGCCAAGCCAAGCAAAGCCAAGCGAAGCCAAACGATGCCAAGCAAAGCCAAGCAAATCGAAGGGAAGCAAAGCAAAGCCAAGTGAAGCCAAGCGAAGCCAAGCCAAGCAAAGCAAAGCCAAGCCAAGCGAAGCCAAGCGAAGCCAAGCGAGGCGAAGGGAAGCCAAGCCAAGCCAAGCCAACCCAAGCAAAGCCAAGGAAAGCCAAGCGAAGCCAAGCAAAGCCAAGCGAAGCCAAGCAAAGCCAAGCGAAGCCTAGTGAAGCAAAGCGATGCCAAGTGAAGCCAAGTGAAGCCAATCGAAGCCAAGCAAAGCCAAGCGATGCCAAGCAAAGCCAAGCGAAGCGAAGCAAAGCCAAGCAAAGCGAAACCAACAAAGCAAAGCGAAGCCAAGTGAAGCCAGACTAAGCGAAGCCAAGCAAAGCCAAGCGAAGCCAAGCGAAGCCAAGAGAAGCCAAGCAATGCAAAGCGAAGCCAAGCGAAGCCAAGCGAAGCGAAGCAAAGCGAAGCCAAGCGAAGCGAAGCCAAGGGAAGCCAAGCCAAGGGAAGCCAAGCGAAGCCAAGCGAATCCAAGAGAAGCCAAGCGAAGCCAAGCAAAGCCAAGCAAAGCCAAGCGAAGTGAAGCGAAGCCAAGCGAGGTGAAGTGAAGCCAAGCGATGCCAAGTGATGCCAAGCGATGCCAAGCGATGCAAAGTGAAGCGAAGCGAAGGGAAGCCAAGCGAAGCCAAGCAAAGCGAAGCCAAGCCAAGTGAAGCGAAGCCAAGCGAAGTGAAGCAAAGCCAAGTGAAGCGAAGCAAAGCGAAGCCAAGCCAAGCCAAGCAAAGCCAAGCAAAGTTAAGCGTAGCCAAGCCAAGCCAAGCGAAGCCAAGCAAAGCCAAGCGAAGCGAAGCCAAGTGAAGCGAAGCGAAGCCAAGCGAAGCCAAGCAAAGCGAAGCGATGCAAAGCGAAGCGAAACCAACAAGACTAAGCGAAGCCAAGCCAAGCGAAGCCAAGCAAAGCCAAGCAAAGCGAAGTGAAGCCAAGCCAAGCGAAGCGAAGCCAAGCGAAGCCAAGCGAAACCAAGCGAAGCCAAGCGAAGCCATGCGACGAAAAGTGAAGCCAAGCAAAGCCAAGCGAAGCCAAGTGAAGCCAAGCGATGCCAAGCGAAGCCGAGCAAAGCGAAGCAAAGCCAAGCGAAGACACGCGAAGCCTAGCGAAGCGAAGCGAAGCCAAGCAAAGCAAAAGCAAGGGAAGGGAAGCGAAGCCAAGCGAAGCGAAGCGAAGAGAAGCCTTGCGAAGTGAGGCAAAGCAAAGCGAAGCCAAGCAAAGCCAAGTAAAGGAAGCGAAGCCAGGGGAAGCCAAGCAAAGCCAAGCAAAGCCAAGCGAAGCCAACCGAAGCGAAGCGAAGCCAAACAAAGCCAAGCAAAGCCAAGGGAAGCCAAGCGAAGCCAAGCAAAGACAAGCAAAGCCAAGCGAAGCCAAGCGAGGCGAAGCGAAGCAAAGCGAAGCGAAGTGAAGCGAAGCGAAGCCAAGCAAAGCCAAGCAAAGCCAAGCGAAGCCAAGCAAAGCCAAGCGAAGCCAAGCGAAGCCAAGCAAGGCCAAGCGAAGCCAAGCGAAGCAAAGTGAAGCCAAGCAATGCCAAGCGAAGCCAAGCAAAGCGAACCGAAGTCGAGCGAAGCCAAGCGAAGCCAATCCAAGCGAAGCCAAGCAAAGCCAAGCGAACCAAAGCGATGCGAAGCCAAGCGAATCCAAGCGAAGCCAAGCGAAGCGAAGCAAAGCCAAGCGAAGCCAAGCAAAGCCAAGCGAAGCTAAGCGAAGCCAAGCAAAGCCAAGCAAAGCAAATCCAAGTGAAGCCAAGCGAAGCGAAGCAATGCGAAGCAAAGCCAAGCGAAGCAAAGAAAAGCCAAGCGAAGCAAAGCGAAGCCAGGCCAAGCGAAGCCAAGCAAAGCCAAGCAAAGCGAAGCAAAGCCAAGCGAAGCGAAGCAAAGCCAAGCGTAGCGAATCCAAGCGAAGCCAAGCGAAGCCAAGCAAAGCTGACCAAAGCCAAGCAAAGCCAAGCGAAGCCAAGCCAAGCCAAGCGAAGCCAAGCAAAGAGAAGCGAAGCAAAGCCAGTCCAAGCCAAGCCAAGCCAAGCAAAGCCAAGCGATGCCAAGCGAAGCCAGGAAAAGCCATGCGAAGCGAAGCCAAGCAAAGCCAAGTGAAGCGAAGCCAAGCGAAGCAAAATGAAGCCAAGTTAATCCAAGCGAAGCGAAGCCAAGCAAAGCCAAGCGAAGGGAAGCCAAGCAAAGCGAAGCGAAGCCAAGCGAAGCAAAGCGAAGCCAAGCAAAGCAAAGCAAAGCCAAGCGAAGCCAAGCAATGCGAAGCAATGCGAAGCGAAGCGAAGCAAAGCAAAGCCAAGCCAAGCGAAGCGAAGCCAAGCAAAGCCAAGCGAAGGGAAGCGAAGCCAAGTGAAGCCAAGCAAAGCCAAGCAAAGCCAGGCGCAGCCAAGCCAGGCGAAGCCAAGCGAATCCAAGCAAAGCCAATCGAAGCCAAGCGAAACCAAGCGAAGCCAAGCGAAGCCAAGGTAAGCCAAGCGAAGCCAAGCAAAGCCAAGCGAAGCCAAGTGAAGCCAAGCGAAGTGAAGCCAAGCGAAGCTAAGCAAAGCCAAGCAAAGCCAAGCGAAGCGAAGCAAAGCCAAGCGAAGCAAAGCGAAGCCAAGCGAAGCCTAGCGAAGCCAAGCAAAGCCAAGCGAAGCCAAGCGAAGCCAAGCAAAGCGAAGCAAAGCCAAGCGAAGCCAAGCGAAGCCAAGCCAAGCGAAGCTAAGCCAAGCCAAGCTAAGCCATGCAAAGCCAAGCGAAGCCAAGCAAAGTGAAACCAGGCAAAGCGAAGCGAAGCCAAGTGAATCGAAGCGAAGCCAAGCGAAGCAAAGCAAAGCGCAGCCAAGCCAAGCAAAGCGAAGCCAGGCGAAGCGAAGCTAAGCCAAGCCAAGCCAAGCCAAGCCAAGCCAAGCCAAGCCAAGCAAAGCCAAGCAAAGCCAAGCGAAGCCACGCGAAGCCAAGCGATGGCAAGCAAAGCCATGCGAAGCAAAGCGAAGCCAAGCCAAGCCAAGCGAAGCCAAGCAAAGCGAAGCAAAGCCAAGCAAAGCCAAGCAAAGTCAATCGAAGCCAAGCCAAGCGAAGCCAAGCGAAGCCAAGGGAAGCCAAGCAAAGCCAAGTGAAGCCATGCAAAGCGAAGCAAAGCCAAGCGAAGCCAACCGAAGCCAAGCGAACCCAAGAGAAGCCAAGCGAAGCCAAGCCAAACGAAGCCAAGCGAAGCGAAGCCAAGTGAAGCCAAGCAAAGCCAAGAGAAGCAAAGCCATGCCAAGCCAGGCGAAGCGAAGCCAAGCGAAGCAAAGCGAAGCCATGCAAAGCCAAGCAAAGCCAAGCGAAGCCAAGCGAAGCGAACAGAAGCCAAGCGAAGCCACGCGAAGCGAAGTCAAGTGGAGCGAATCCAAGCCAAGCGAAGCCAAGCGAAGCCAAGCGAAGCCAAGCGAAGCGAAACCAAGTGAAACCAAGCGAAGCGACGCAAAGTCAAGCGAAGCGAAGCCAAGCGAAGCGAAGCCAAGTGAAGCCAAGCAAACCCAAGCGAAGCGAAGCGAAGCCACGCAAAGCCAAGCCAAGCCAAGCGAATTGAAGCCAAGCGAAGCCAACCGAATCCAGGTGAAGCCAAGTGAAGCGAAGCAAAGCCAAGCAAAGCGAAGCCAAGCGAAGCCAAGTGAAGCCAAGCCAAGCCAAGCGAAGCCAAGCAAAGCGAAGCCAAGCGAAGCCAAGCCAAG